CCGCATAAAATTAATTATAGTCACTCAATCCATATATGTTTAGTGTCATTAAGTACCAAATCCATGTCAAATAGTCAGTAGACAAAACTACTCCAAGTCAGAATGATAAGAATCGAATTTCCATCACCTGCTACTAAATTAACACGATAGATTCCCTAAAGAAGAAGTCATTATTGGCAAATAACAAAACACTGCAAGTACAGGTGTAACATAAGAGGGGAGAGAGCAACTTACAAGGCTTAGGCATAAAAGTTTCCAAGTCACTCCGAACATTCCTCTCCAGAGTGACGGGGGCAAGAGGAGCCACGGGTGACAATGCAGCATTCCTATCAGTCTCCAATGCCATCTCTCTCGATCCCTCTATCCTGATCAATTCTCCTTCTCTCAGATACTGATATTGAAAATTGATCCCACGAAATGGAAAAGACAAGATGATAAAATGAAACGTACTAGCAAAGGAAGCCGGGAAAAGAGAGGCAGTTCGACTGATGGTGTGGAAATCTCGTGGCAAACATGCACAGGACCTGCTTGCATGCATGACTCTCTTGCGTTTGAATCTTGCCATCTGGGTTCTCTTGGGAGACACGTAGAGTAGAAGGCGTCATACTAGTTTTTGACGAAGGGAAGAATTTGATGGATCAAAGGCTTATTACTCACCGAGAGGTATGGAAACGGACAGGGATGCAAGTTGAAAATGTGAATCACAAAGGTTGTCTTTTATTTTCGTAAGCAGGTTACAGTCCTGTTCCCGGCTACTTTAGATTTTGCAAAATTTAATTATCAAGAGTGAGAATAATCTCAATCAACAAAAACTACTCTTTAATTGATTATGTATTTTAACTTCTTTTACTATTAAAAAAGGGCACGCGTTAAAATGTATTTTAAAAGTTAGATTTTTTGAAAAAGTAAGATTAATTAGAGAAAGTGTAAAAAATGTAAGGAGGGTAATAATTATTAATGTGTGTGTGTGTATATATATATACATATATATATATGGTAAGTTAGGTGAAATTTAAATGTGTTAAAGAATGCCCAATGAATCTTTAAAAATCTATAATTTGAACATAAAAACAAATGAGAACATAAAAAAAAAATTGATTATCTAAAATTAAAATTTATAATCAACTCAAATAATTAACTAAGAACAAGCCCTAAGTGAGCTCCCTTCAAGCACAACTTTAAAAATTCTATGTCAACTCTAGTAGTACTAAAAAAAAAAAAAAAGTCTTTCGTCGTCCCATTTATAGGGATGGAAAATAGGATTGTTAATTGCAGACAAGTCTATCTACTATTTTTTTTTTCAATCTATCATTATTTTAATCTTTTATCTTTATATTTTAGGTGTACATTCATACTTTCGTGTATCTCGATACAAAATTAAGGATTGGTGGAGTTGTAATATGCCTATAATTTTTAAAATTACAGTGTCTGTCACGCTACTATAATATTTTTAGAGATATAATCAAATCTAATTATAGCTAGCACTTGGTGTCCAAGCTTTTTTCTTTTTTTATGATAAGAAGCTTGAAATGTGTCCAAGCTTTATTTCTTTATGATAATGAATTTGAAAATGTATTCAACCTTATTTGATTATTTATAGATGAATTCAAATCAGATTTTGTAAATGCAACCACCAAATAACTTTGGTTCGTCATATTAAAATTTTTTCCAAAAACAACCAACGCACAAACAAATAAACAACCCAACAATGGAGTCCAGCCCAAGTGGCAAGCATCCGAAACTATTGAACCGTCCACCTTTGGTGCTTATTGGACCTCCAAGATTGGGCAACCAAAATTTGAGGCCCAAGTTAACATCCCATCAAAACGCTAACTTAAGAGAGACAAGGGGGAGAAATCTGGAAACAGAGAGAGAAATGGCGAGCGATGCTGCGGCGGCTGTAGAGGTAACAACATCGGCCGATGCACCGCCGGCCACGGTGGACGCAGCTGCAAAATTGCCGCATAAGGTGGAGAGAAAGTGGTCGTTTTGGTGCGATAACCCATCTAAGCCAAAACAACAAGGAGCAGCTTGGGGAAGCTCTTTGCGCAAGCTCTACACCTTCGACACAGTTGAAGAATTCTGGAGGTATATTATCCTCTCAAACATGGACAAATTTGTTGATAAATTCATGTTGTTAAATTTTTACGTATATATTTTGCATGTATCTCGTGTGATTGATTCAGATTTCTGAATTTTATTGGATTCTAGGGCTTCAGTATTATAAATTTGAGAATTCGGTATGTTCTTTCTCTTATCAGTCAGATTTGTTGATTTCATTGTGTTTATAGATTGACGGTTAAGATTAATTACTAAAGTGTATCTGTTTTAGGTTAAATTTCTTTTTAACTGATCCTGTAATTGGTTGTACGAGGGGCAAAAATATTTAGAATCTGTATTTGTTCTTTTTCATGCAAATGAAAAAGACAGCTTCTTTTTTGCTAATGCGGTTTGGATTGTCAGAATAATAACTGTAGCAGTGACTTCCCTTTAATTAAACAAAGTCGAACACTTTTGCTTTTAGCGCATCTGACAAGATAAATCTGTGTTTCCCTCAAATTTGGGAGAGAGGAAACTTTTCAGAATTGTACAACGATTTGAATCAACTATATTATAGTTCCCTGAAAATGTGAAAAGCTGATTCAAAGTGTACAAGTTCTGGTTTGGCTCGCAACCTGGTCTCCTCATTTCAATAAAAGCTGATTTCTCCTAACTTTAGCGACTAAAGGTTCTCCACGGGCGATTCTGGGTGAGATCCAATGTAGATCCGACTTTTGATTCAATTGTGGGATTTATTTTTTTTTTGTTTTGGGGTGGGGGGGGTGCTAACGTGGCAAAAAACTGGGTGCCCTGAATAGGACAGCTCAATTAGAGAATGCTACATTCTTCAAAATCGTTGACAGCACATAATGTCTCTTTTGTCGTGTTAAACATCAATTAACTATAAACATTCAGATTTTTCATATGTACCTGTAGCATCATGGTAAAACTAACACTGGATGTAAGATTCAATTGTTGTTATGTGTCAGTTAAAAGAACATCTTTTATTGCAGCTTGTATGATCAGATATTTAGACCCAGCAAGTTAGTGATAAACGCAGACTTTCACTTGTTCAAAGCTGGGATAGAGCCAAAATGGGAAGATCCTGAGTGTGCTGGTGGAGGCAAGTGGACAGTTACTAGCAACAGAAAAGCTAATCTTGATAACATGTGGCTCGAAACTGTAAAGATCTTATTTATTTTTTGGACTTTTTGTTGATGCTTTTATGTCATTGTATTTTGTTAAAACAAGGTCTTGGAGCTGAGTTTTTTGTTATCTTGTTGATTAACCTATGGAATTCTGCTGGACAGTTGATGGCTTTAATTGGGGAGCAATTTGATGAGGCTGATGAGATATGTGGAGTGGTTGCCAGTGTGCGTCAAAGGCAGGACAAGATTTCACTCTGGACTAAAACTGCTACCAACGAAGCTGCTCAGGTTTTGGTCTTACAGTTTTATCTTCTGTTTATATTCTCATATTATACTCGCTTCTAATTACGTATATCTGCAGATTTTAATATGGTCTAAGTGCATTTAAATTAGCATTATTTTCTGTTGTTAAGCTTCTATTGTTAGTATTGGTTCTAGTTGTGTAGTCTAATTATGACAATATGTGGATAATCCCTGAGGAATCTTTCAAAGTGTGTAGCATTTAGAGCATCAAGGTTCCCTAGCCTCTCTCCTTCTTTTTCCATTTTTTGTTGAGGGGAAGAAGGGGGGGGGGCAGTTTACAGTTGTTGAACAAAGATATGGGCATAAACCTGGCAAAGGCTAGCTTTGGATGGTTATAGTAGGTATCCTAATGTTCTTATGAGCCCTAACTGTACGTGGATTAGTTTTAGGCACTTAGCATGATAAGATTCCAAGACTAGATAGGTGTAATCTTTATCAAAAAATTTACATCCTCTATGGCAAATTGAGTTTCTAGTTGGCTGTTGATGTTTGGATTGTCAAATCTAGGAGCAACTTTTTAACTCATGCCTTTTTTTTTGGGGGGGTGGGGAGGTGTGTGTAGGGTTTTAATCTCCTAACTTGATGTTATTGTATCTCTTTTGGAACTTCTTATCCATTGAGTGTTTTCAGTTAGACTGTAGAACTTATTAAAAGATATTGCTAGAATCTGAAAAGTTCCAAAATTGGCCATGCTTGAAATTCTCATCACTGAATACCTTCACAAATTGAATGTTTCCCTAAGCGTCTCATTGGAACTTCTTGATTTCTTCTGTCTGCTCATTAAGAAGACTAATAATTTAGGCCTGGTTTTTGTGATCCAGATGAGCATTGGAAGGAAATGGAAGGAAATCCTTGACGTCACAGATAAGATCTCTTACAGTTTTCATGTAAGTTTTATTTGGGTTATTAAGTTTCTCATGTCATGATAAATTTTTGTTTCTTTCTCAAGCTCGTTTTGTGTGTGGCAGGATGATTCTAAAAGGGAAAGATCAGCAAAAAATCGATATAGTGTGTGAATATGCACTTGAAATCGACAGTGTTAACAGGCACCTGATTATACTCAAAATTATGTGTGTGTTGCATTTGAAGTAGAGATGCGGTTAATGACGACAATCAGGAACACCCCACCACTTGTGCCACTGCAAATTGATGTAGAAGATATTGCTTTGCGCTTTAATTTTGATGTAACATTATCATGCGCCAGTTTTGACCTTTGCAATCTAGGTGTTTTTTTTAAAAAAAAAAAAAATATATTGTTTCAATGTAACGTTGTCAGATGCCAGTTTTGATTCTAGTAATACTGAGATTGTTGCCTTTCTTCCCTTACTGTGAGTTGCTAATTGTCTTCAACCAAAGGGGTTTTACGCAATTTGACTGAGTTGTGACTGGATATAGGAATTCTCCGTACTTAGAAACAGTTACTAGAATTCCGGATTGCTTTAAAGGTACTGTTTGGATTTCTATTTTTGTCAAAAATTTTGTTTCATTTTCTGTGAACATTTATTTTAAACATTTATCGATCATTTTTTCATTTTACATACTAAAAGTGTTACAGTAATTTCTTTATCAAAAACACTTCAGAAAATGCAATCTAAGCAACCAATATGCATGCGTACACTTTGTGGTTAACCATGGAGCCTCTGTGAAGATGTGCACTATAAAGCTGCTGGATGAGAACCGGAACAGAGTGGATGTGTGCTATAATGTGCGAAAGAACTAAAAACGATGCTACTATTCCTGAGATGACAATGTGAATTATGTTGTGGGTATCAGAAGAGCATCAGATATTGCAGTGGCAGTTTACACAATCTCTCAAACATTGAAAATCCTGTGTCCATGGTGGTGAGGAGAATGTACCATATCAAGCAAGGAATCCAAGTTTTTCTCCATTCTTCTTGGCTAATCGAATCAGCCCTTGCCTTTGTTTTGAATCTGCTCCTATTTGTTTGCAGAATTCATTTATTACCTGAAAATTGCGACTCCTGTTGTTACTCATAAGTTACTCATAAGTATGAAAATGCTTTGGATCGGAAATTATTTGGATTAACATTATAATATTTTTTTTTAATATAATGGATGTGAGATAAAAAGGTGACTAAGAGTACATAAAGTTGTTAAAAAAAATTCATATCCAAACAAAAGAATAGTAGAGGCAAATTATTTTACATCTAGTTATTCTAGTTACCTAGGTAATATCAAGGATATCGAATTGGGTTCGTATGGATAGTAATTGTTTGCCAAATTTTATTCATTTGCCTTACAAACATATTTTCTAATCATTTTTTTATCTTACGTACATACGTCACACTAAACAAATGTTACAATATTTTTTTCAAAAAAATTATTTAAATTACTCGGGATTCATTTTAGAATATTTGATTCAATAATTAACAGAAATTTGTTGAACGAATTTGAAATCCCAAAGCAGAGAAAGAGGAAAATTGCTCGGAGAACATAACAACTTCATCGGCAGAAAATATTGAAGATAACACAATTGCATCATCCGTCCAAGGTAGTATAAAGCGCAAGAAAGGCTAAAATGCTAGTCCCAGCCTTTTTTGTGGGCAGGCAATATTTTTCAATTAAAATGTCACTTGAATTCCCTTAAATAAAGCTAAAAACTTTCACAAGAAACCACCCCTACATAATAATATCTTGCCGGTTTGAAAACCTAAAATAATCATCCAACTATTGTTTCTCATGGAAGAAATATGTCAATTAGCAAAGAAAATCACTAAGAAAAAATAAAATTGGAGGTGGCTCAGTTTGGTACCTGTGAGTGTAAAGAAATGGCCTTTCCCCTGAACTGATTGAATCGCTTTTTGCCAATTATGTTACGTGCAACAATAACAAGAGGAGCAAACAGTCCCTTTCCTTCATTAACATTTCCCATCATCGGCTGTAATCTGACCGGCTTCCCCACTCGAACATGGCTAGGAACAGTCTTGGCTAGCATGGGAAAATCTTCCCCACCCACTGATTTTCCCCAACTTCCATGAAAAGAAGATGATAAACCCCCTTTAAACCCAGTTGCACAAACTGCTGCAGCCATTGAAAAATCGCAAGTAGAACTAACTTGAAAGATTTCCTCTTAATTAAGAAATCTAAGCACAAAGGTTTTCTTGTTTTACTTTTCTTTTAATCTACGTTGCGTTGCAGTCTTCGGAAGTTTTGATGCTGTCCTGCTGTTGTGAGAAGATGTGATGATGAAGAGGTGTAAGTATGAGAGCCTGTGGTTTTTATTGGATAGCAGAGTTGGAGAAATGTGAGGAGATATTAAGAGCCACGCATGCATGCTGGTCACTGCTGGTGGCAGGTGGCTTGGATTTTTGAATGTAATTTTCCTCTCCGTGTATTTTCACTTGAATAGAATCCTTTCCCCTCGAGCTCGAGGATCTTTTTCTGCTATTTCTGTGGTTCTTTCCCATTCTTGTGGAGCCCTCCATGATTTTTTTGAAGGCCATGACCATAACTCGGAAGCAAATAATGAAATACTATATGAAAAATGGGAACAAAATCATTTTCAAAGTTTTGCATTTCCTTTGTTTCATTTTCTATATTACCAACACAAATTTTATGCGGTTTTATGATGCTGTCAAGAGACAAAGTTTCACCTGGTAGTATTTAATTGGCACTTTTATTCGTCAGGTGAATTTCTCAAAAGCTTCAGAAACTGTAGAAAAAAAATGTATTCAAAGAAGAAAAGGATCCATTTATCAAGAACTGTAAAAGGGAATTGAAAAAAAAAAAAAGAAGAAGAAGGAAATCCCATTTATTAGGACCTGATTAACTATGGAAAATTACAAGAAACAATTTATAATTCTGCGTACTGAATGTTGGTTCACTTTCACATTTTGAATGAAGAATGTCTGGAAATTTGGGCACTTTTTTGTTTCGACAATTGATAAATAAGCAACGGTAGCTATACAATTGAATGGTATGTTGGATTTACATATAGTCGAACGGTGCAGAACACCCCAAATGGCTAGATTGCTGTGTTCACAGAAAAAAAAAAAAAGAAGCTATTCTTAAACTTGCGTCTTTTCTTTCTTTATTTCTTCATGAATGTGGACATTATTTTTGCTCATGGCAGCTAAGTTGCTAAGTGTGGGTCGGCTAACCACAAATTTAGTGGCTTTGAATCAATTTCTGGCCGTAAATGTTTATGTCGGAAGAAAGTTCTTGGCAATCATAAGATTCATAACTTGGTTGTAAAGAATGATTTTGCAGTTCTGAGTGTGGTAGGAAAACAAGATACGAAGTAAACTTCGATTGAAATAGTTTTCATATTTATATCGTTGAAACGTGTCTTCTTGCTCGCCTGGTACAATAATGAGAACATCAAGACTCTAGACATTTCATGAATTTAAAGGTCAAACTTATCACGTGATTGAAGATAATTAATAATTATTATTTAATATTTTGTTTTATAATTTGGCACTTATCATGTGATTTTAACAGAACAATCAAAAGTTATATAGTGAGTCAATAAAATAATATGCAATGAAATATCCTTATGTTATATAAGAATCAATTGTGATCAAAAGTTATGTTTGAATTTCGACCGCAAAGATAAGGATAGTTTGGAAATATAAGAATGTTTGAAGTATAATTGAAAAATATCCAAAAGTTTTGTCTAAAACTTATCCAAGATCTAATTTGAAATTACCTTATCATAAAAAATTGGTGCAAATAATATTTTCTAAATTTGAAATTGTAGGAAATGGTAATTAAAATCAAAAGAAATTGCTCATATGAATTTGAATTGCAAGCTATGGTAGAAACTACTTAATGATATTTTTCAATGTTTACTTGTATAAGTATCTAATATAGCAACTCTACTTAATTGATTCGTTTGAACTATGAATAATAGTTGTTTCAATCAAATCAAGAAACATTATTTATCATTGTACAGTATACAATTATGAGTAAATGAATTAATACAATGCAATCAAAATGGTGTTGTATTTGAAACATTTAAACTCATCAAGTTCCACTACAAATTCTTTTAGATAGCATGTTAAATAATATCGCAAAATGATTTGTCAAAGTAAAAAAGCAAATTTTTTTTGTATTTGGAATTATATAAACAATAGAATACAAGAACGAGATCATAATATGGAAAAGCAAATAGATTGCAAATGACATCTTAGTACTATGCAGCATGATTAATTTTTTTTTTTTTTTTAGTTTCAATGAAGGACAAAATTCTAAGTTAATAAATTTTACAATCATAAAATTTCCAATTAAAATAAACACAAGCTGAATTCCAAATCATATTACATGAAAAACTAAATAAAAATAACTACTTGAACCATAATTTATCCATAATATAAAATGCCATAATAATTCTATTCAACAATCAAAAATTTTGTCAAGTATTAAACTATTGGCAGAATTACCAGGCCTCAATTCCATTCCTTCTTGCTATGCTTACTGCAACACCCACACCCATAAGCCTATTGCCTCAGAACATCAAGTCTCAATCCCCATCATTATTTTTTAATACCTTACCTTCAACAATACTGATTAGCAACTTCAAGCTATCTGAGATTTTGGAAGAAGATGTCAAGATTGGAGCTTCTTCATGGTAACTATCCGATCATTTGCTTTTTTTTTTTTGTCACTTAGGAATTTGGATTCCTAACTACTTAATAGCAGCAAGACACCGGGAATTCTAGAAATTCAGTCTCCCTTATTTCTAGAACTGTCAAAATACATCATGCTTTTACATGGTTTAGTTTGAGTGATATATAGCATGTGACGGCGCATGTAGGCGTAAATCACAGCATATCAAAAAATCTAATTAATGCAATATTTGATGTTAGCAACTTGACCGAGGAGGTGAAGATAGGATATGAAACTAAGCATGTATTGGATCCAGTATGGCACGAGCTTCAATGCTTTCAAAAAGCAAATCAATCTTCTTCAGGACCAGAGGAGCGACTTCCTCAAGATCGTCGTCCAACTTGCTTTTGCAATGCCGACATGTTATACCCTGTTCTAATTAAACTTTGACTTAATATCTATAACTTATACGTAATAAATTTATAAGAACAAATAAGTTCCACTACTTTAAAAATTAGTTCTACACAACTTCATTCAATGAATTATAAGCAAGGTGATAAAATTACTAACCTTATTCAAGATATATGCAACAAAGCTAGGTTTTGATACCAACTTCAACCTATTCCACAAATACAAGAATCAGAAAATAGTACAATTAGTTAGTTTTTGGAATTAGAAGTATCAAAAAACAAACTATATGGAGTTCTTGAATAAATCAATTATCGAAAAAAAAGCCACCTCAAATCCAAACAGCTCACCTCAATTTAGAGAAAAGGCTACGCTTTCCACCAAACATTTAATAGTTATGATAAAACCAAAGAGGTGAAACGGAAAAAAAAAGGCTATCAGCTGAACATGGAGGCATAACTATGGTGATGGTTGTTTAGAGCAATCTGTTGAACATGGGGCATAATATATGATAATGGTTGTTTAGGTAATAATTAGGTCAATTAATTGTAATTAAAATCCAATTATGTAAACATTCAATTAATTCCTTAACGGATGAGAAATGCTTCGGGAAATTGGAAGGTTTGGGTGTTAGTATAGTAAATGATTAAAAGGCCTTTTATATAATTCTATCAAAACACAAGCTTAATTCTGTTGTACTTGATACTCAACTTGACACCAAATATTGTCACTTACCAAACCTACCCCTAGCCTTAAATGTCTGAAATGTTATATAAGTAATTATAGCAAAATTAAAGTTGTAATAACTTGTACCTAATGCTCCACTTGTACTTCAAACACTCTCACATTTCCAAAATAACCCTACCCTTGCGGTTGAAATCCAAAATTTATCTTTGCCCTAAACTCGTTCTTATATAGTATAAGGATTTGTATTGGTTTACTGGGTGGAACCCTGGAACTTGGAAGGAAAGAAATAGATGAAGAGGGGAATTCAATATAATGTGATTCAAGTCCTGAGGTTCTTTTTCATATTTTGTTTGGTTGTTTTAGTTGAAGTGTAAGCGAATCGAGCTTAATCGAGTAGTTTGTAATCTTATTCAATTAAAATTCAAACTCAAACTCATGTTGATCGAATTTGAGCTCAAGTTCAAGCAGTTTGAATTACTTAACGAGTCGAACTAAAATTTAATATGTGAGGTTCAAAAGCTCATCAAACTTAATTGAATTCAATCGAGTTTCACATATGTATTTTTTTTTAATTTTTTAATTTAAGTATGAAATATCTATTTTGTCCCTTGTTTAAAATTATATAAAATATAAATTTTATTTCTTAAACTGGATTGGACTCAATGAGCACAAGATTGAGCTCAAACTCAAGGTCGAGTAATACAAAATGAAATTGAGCTCAAGTTTAAACTCGACTTTCAAGAGTTCAACAATTTTGAATTTGAGCCATAATATTCTAAGTGTTTTTTAAATTGAGTCGAGTTCGAGTAGTACACTCCTCGAAATCGACTTGACTCAATTGTACTCAAATCTAACATCATCATGTGACAAGCAAATGCAAGTGGTTATTGCCCTAGTATTTCGATGCACAAGCAAATGATACATGTAATTAATATGAAACTTCAATCCTTTAATTAATGAAGTTATACATGAAAATCATTATTGTTTGCTGTCTTTTTTGGATTACATTTTCTTGGCTACTTCTAAAGGAACAGAAGAAAACATAAGAAAACGGGAAGGAAAATGACTTTGTTTACAATTGACGATTAAGATGATTAGACTACAATGCTCATAATCATCAAGCGTTCATGTTCTTCTTCTCTTTATCATCCAGGCAAAACAAAAGATTCCTCAATAAATTTTTTCCCTCGTTTCACATTAGATTTCAAGTAATTAAACAAGTTTGTAACAATTACACTCTTTTGTTACTAATTAGTCTCCGGTCCAGCCTTTATCCACAGAAAAGTTGCTAAGGTAACCATCAAGTCCTAGCTTGGGATAAAGTAAAAACGAACTGCATTCCCTTTTAATTACTTGAAGAAATAAGAGAGCATTTGAATTTGCATTGGAAAATTCTTTCAACTGGCAAAAGAATGCATTTGTTTTTAAAATGTTGGAACTATTTGGTTACAGTCACTGGATGCCATTCCTGGAATCTCCAATCCATGAAAGCTTGGCTTAGTTACAGTCACTGGGGTGCCATTCTTGTAATCTCCCTTTCATTTCATTCTTTGAATCTGCATCCATGAAAGCTTTGTCATTATTATTGGTTAAAAAGGTGTTCAGTTAGAGACAAAATGTATTCACAAAGAAGTTTAGGGTAAAATCTCCACTTAAGCATTTGATTTGAGTTCAATATGCACACAAATTTTGACTCCAAAAAACAAAAATATTTATCTTCAACTCTGATGAATTAGTCCAAGTTGGAGATATGCTTAAAGCTACATGGTCGCACACGTCACAAAAATTGAAAACAAGTAAAAAAAAAAATGCAAAACACACAAATGACAAAATGACAACAAAGATGAAATATATACTGTATTAGTTCTAGTGAGTGAATCACCTTGAAGGTCATATCAATGCAAGTACTCAAAAGTTTGATGGGATAGAGCTGAATTGAACAAAAAATGATGGGGTCAAATTAAATATTGAAACTTGAAGGTCGACTCTTGAGTTTTGACTCTGCTGCTCTTCCTCTTCCGTTGCTGACCAAGCTCTCCATCCATTGTCAAGCCAGACCTCTCCATCATCAAGGTAGCTTACATAATTCTTCCCTATTTGATTTAATTTCGTTTGCAGATTCTACAAATTCAATCCACAAAATTCTCAAAGAAATCCTTGAAAAAACACAAAAACAAGAAATCAGTCCTATTACTCTGCAAGAATCAAGAATGGTATTGTTTGCAACCCATTTTCTGGCGTTCCTTTTCCTTTTCCCAGTCGGCATTCGCCGTCTTATATTCTCACTGTCACTGTATCTCCAAAACCCATCTCAATTTATATCAAAAGCATGGTATTTTTCAGGACCCAAGTGGAAAAATGGGGACATGTACGCTCTTCTTTTAGCCCTCCCAATTGCCTCATTTTCCCACATTTATTTATTTTTTGCAATTTCAGGCCACCCCAATTACAGATTCTCATTCTTGGCACAATCTTTGTTGATCTTCATCTTCTGGGCCCTCTTAGTTCTTATAAGTTTGAAAGAAAGTTTGGATCTTTATGTAATTCCTGAGAGTTTTGTGTTTATACTTTGTGGCATTGCTTTTGTGATTGAGTATTACATGAACGGGCAAGGGATTTTGGGACTTGGTGGAGTTGCTTATGAGCTTTTAGGTGGATTAGCACTTGTTTGTGCTGCTTGTTGCTTGTATTTGTCCATCAGCCCATCGGCATTTTTCGCTGATTTTTTGCTGTCGTCTGGGCTTGTTCTGAAGGCTGTTTGGGTTCTGCAAGTGGGAATGTCTTTGTATACTGATGCATTTAGTCTAAAAGGGTGTGAGAAGATGGCAGTGAGTCGGGGAAATAGGGAGATTGATGTTAAGTGTGAGCTTGAAGAGGACAAGTTGAGGGGTGTGGCATTGACAAATTTGCTGTTCGTTGTGCATACCGCACTGGTTTTGTTCGTGAGCTTCTCATTGCTTGGATTGTTGCATCGACATAGGAGTAACAGGTCTCGGGAGGTAACTGGACCATTGCTATCTCAGATTGGATCATCAGAGGGTATTGTGATGAATCCACTCCCTATATTTGAGATAGAATGAGGATTTTACTGGTAAACAAGTTTAGGTAGGAACTTTGAGTTGAAAATCTGGCAAAAAATTATTCCTTGTTCTCTACAGACAGGTATACTTTGACATTTTTCTCAGCAAACATTGCTGCTATACAGAATTTTGTACTTGACTTATGCTTCAATGAAATGAGTTGTCAGTGTTCTTTATTGTCATTGGTTTCATTTTTATATACTCATGTATGTGTATACGTTTTTGAATATATCTCATAGTCATCAGTATATAAATTACTTTTGCAAATTTGGCTAAAGATTGATTGGATATTTAACCATGTATTATGCTTCCATCTCCACAATTGTGTATTTTCGCAATGTACTCTATAAAAAAGTTACTAGTAGATAATGAGCACAATTTTGTATAATTAGGACTCTATAACTTCTAACCAGTTGCCACTTTGAACAGGGCAAAGTGCAAAAAATCCTTACTGCTTTTGATACACTACTGCTTTCATGAGAGTACTTTTGCTCTCATCTTTTTCGTTACCTCTGTTTTATGCATGTTTCAGTATGTAAAAAGATGTTAAGATAAAAGAATTAACATAAAGGATAGTCAGTCTTGTTAAAAATCAACTGCCAACTGAGCAACTTAGTTCTATTGTATCAATAGAGAACAAAAGGGACGTCTTTAACTTATACCTGCGCAAGGCTTTACGCGAAACTCCTGTAGATGACAGAAATTTGTACTGTACCCAGAAAAAAGAGGTCTAGTAATTTGATATTTGATCCTGCTTACTCATTTACTTTGATTAGAATTCTCTGTTTCATGCCTTCATGGTGGAAAACATGCAGAAATTCTTACATTTGGTTATTGAATTGAATAGCTCAACTGGAATGGTGGACTACTAGATAAAACCAATTATTCACCTGTATTCGTTGTCAGACTTAGAAAGTTTTCTGGAATCAGTATGTACCTCTCTTGTGATACGTTGGGATGAAACTGTCTGCCTTTCTTATTCCACAGTTCACAGTTGTACAAACATAATCCACAAAGAGCAATATGTTGCAGGCCAAAGCATGAAATGAGAAATAGTTCTTGGATCAATGATCGAAGCTTAGTGGAGTGCCAAAATAAAACTAGACTGATGTTCATGGATTTGAAATTCATTAAGGTTGATTATATCTTAAAGAAACTGAAATTATGATCTTTTATGAGTGGTTAAGATTGATACCTCAGGAGTTAGAGGTCCTGGTTTCTAATCCCCATGTCCCCCTCCCTGCTTCTTAAATACCACCCCTCCCTTGCTAGAAAAAATTTAAAAGAAAAACTGAAATTATGATCTTTTATCAGTGTTGATATTAGAATAACACTGTAAAGATGATATAGAATCTATTTGTCTAAAAGTAATTTTGAGATCTAGTTGCTTAATATTCATTCCTCAAAGTAACTCTAACTTAGTGGGACATAGATAACACGATAGTCCCTAGGATACTGCAATGGTTCTTTGAACTGAAACTTAACTGAACAACATTTTGTTTCTTGTTCTTAACTCTTGCAATGAATTTCAAGTGTTCCATGCCTGCCTCTTTTAGATTGTTTACATAACCTTCCAAAAGCTTGTATTGCACAGTCTGCAGAAGTAACTATGTGATTACTGGGAGAGAGAGAGAGGAGGGGGGGGGGGCAAGGAGAAAGAGACTCTTGAACTCGATATCTCTTTCAGTCTGAGAATCAGAAAATTGGATTTTGTTCGCCTACTTGGTGAGTGACTTGAGGATTCTGAAGAATTAGGTATCAGACTATCTGCAATACTAGTTTCCATTACATACTTAAATCAGGACATTTACAATGTCAATTTCTGGGTCATCTAGTTTCATTACATACTTAAATCAGGAGTCAATTTCTGGGGGTCTCCATGATAGCTCAATAATGGCTCTCTGGCATCAGATAATTTTTGAGGTAATTTATCTCTTAAATTCTTAAACCAGATCATTTCAGTTGTTAGTGACAGTAGGCACCTCTTTTCTATTCTTTCAAGATTAAGTAATCATTTTGTGGCTTTTTTTTTTCTGGGTATTGGTTGATAGGGAGCTGAAGGAAGAATGGCCAAGTCAAAGTCACACATTAAACTGATCCATCCACCAAGCTTCTTGTTTTTGTACTTTTATGTCTGCATTCAGCTTATATCTCCTTCAGGAATTGAAACATGCAACTGAAACTTCATGGCTCCAGAATCTTTCTCAAGTTTACCGCTGCATTTCAGTGTATCTGTCAAAAACATGGCCTCCGACTGGTATATTCCTACAAAGACTTATGCAAGTTTTTTATTTTGCCAAGTACCAGATAAAGATCTTGAACATGATAAATGTAAAATACATTCTCTTCCTTTTTTTTTTTTGCACATCTTTTGACACATATAGGAATGCTGGATGCTTAGTTCACAAATCATCAGACCTTTTGTCAATAGTGAAATTACAATTCACTAATCCACAAGAAAATTGGTATTCAAGTCCTTTCTCCATGTGGGCTCTAATTACAGTGAAATGACTAACTAGCTGTGACAATGGTGAAGTCTAAACTGTTTTATGCCTTCTGCATTACTAGCATTTCATGAGTCGACAAATGAAATAATCTGCTCATCAATGCTGTTTTGATGAGTACAAAGTTTGTAAAAGAAAAGGAAAAAGATACACAGACCAGGCACCTTTTGTCCAAGTACATTTACCCTCAACAATATGTTGTAGGAGAAGTTATTGAAGTACAATTATTGCTATTGTGAAGATGCACTTATACTAGTTTAGTTTTTCATATCTTGTTAGAGAAGAAAATCTGGAAAAATTCAACCATCGCTTGCGGAAACGACTGAACCAATGAATTTTAATTCTAGATCGAATTCTTTTGATCTTATTGATGAAATTGTATCTTTTCTTGAGTAGCTTGGATTTGGAGAAGTTTAGCAATTTCCTAACTCCTTTAGGTCCTGCATTAAAAAATAATATTCATCAAGAAGGTTAATTTGAAAAGTGAATATAATAGATAGAAGACATTGATGGGCAAAAACTAAGCAAGACTGCCAGAAAAACCATATAGGACAACGAGTAAATGGTTCATTCAGCCACCAAAAATAGGGCCAAATTTCGCATGAAATTAGGCTAGGTGAGGTTTGGGCTTGAGTATTAAATGCAATTTAAAAATGGGTAATGAAATAATCTGCTCATCAATGCTGTTTTGAATGATGCGCTTGACCCAATAAAGACCTGATATCTCCTAGCTATGAAATGTAAATTTATGATTATTTTACCCACCTTAAATCTTTATAAAAAAGATGGTTTCTATTAGTTAAAATTCTTGTGATATTAGTTAGAATTATTCTTGTTTTCAATACTTAAAATTATGATTTATAATTCACTACTAATACCATTTGTTAGTAAAGCATTTCTTTTAAAGAACAACAAGAACGAAAACCATGAGTCTGGACCAGGTGATGTTGAGCCTACAAGCCTAATATACTTATAGGGTCATTCTTGTGCCTTGATATTTTGAGCCCAAATGGGCAGTTGCCCAGACTAAAAGCTGTGACTTTTTATATGGGCCCATCATTAGCCTAAAAGGCCCAGATGACAGGGCTAAACCCTTGTGCTGTTGGTTGTTATACAAGTAGTGCAGTGTAACAATGCAGAACTCTTCATGACTCTTGATTTCATGGCTTATATTATGGCAAACTACAGCTTTCTATTTAAATGATGATTTTCTCTAGTTCTATACTAGCCAACCATACCTCGATTCTTCTTCTTAATATGATGTTCATCTTTTATTCCAGCATTGTACAATACCTGCGAGTTGTCAGGAATAGAGGGCTCATTAGATGTCCTTGTTTTTCTTACGAATTTAAGGTTTCAATGAGCTTCAGAAACCAGATTGTATATGGTGAGATAAGAAAATGATGTTAGACATCATTCTGGACTTTGTAAAGAGGCTTGTAGGTGCAATTCAAGTTACCTCAACTAAGCTCTCTAATCGCGTTCTCATCCTTCTTTGAATGAAGCCTCGAGTGCTCTGTTCGAACTTTGTTTTAGCCTCAGCAGGTGAGAGAAGTTCAGTAATCTAGCTAAAGAACATAATCTTGTTCTTACCTTTACATGATATTTCACAAATGCATAAAAGTTAAGTAGGTTCCAAACAGTTTTGTCAAGCCTCTTGCCTTCAACATGACGCCCAGTGATATCTGTGATGTAATCAAGTAAGATCATGTACTAGTATTCTTGTCGCAGAGTAAAAGAAGTACAAGGTGTGTAGCTAATACCAAAAGAGACAAATCCTCCATTGGTGCTCAGATCTTCAATGGGCTCTCCTCTCATATCCAGATGAGTTCAAATGCTGTGGTTCCTGTGGTTAATGTTTCAAGCTTCTTCAAATATTGTTTACAAAACATGGTTTCAAGAAGAATATTATTCCATCATTGATAAAAGTTTTTGGTTTTACCTGAAAGAAAGCTGTTGCTATGATTACATCTGTATCTTCTTTAAAGCGCATAGGGAATACTGCAGTGATTTTTTCTGGCTGTTAAAAGAAACAATGGTGAGGATGTATACATGAGCTATAGAAGTATTCATTTTTAAAATTGAATATGGAATATGGTCTTTAATTTTCCAATTCTCCGTCATGTTCAATTGCATTTGATAGTCTATTTTTTGCTTCTGCTTTAGATGTCTTTGGTGTTAAATTCATACAATAATCAGTAGAACTTATGAATTTACCTGTTTGATGACAAAGAAAGGTTCCCTTGGGTGATAAATGAGTTTGACTGGTCTGTACATCCCTTGAGAGACTTCTAGTGAATTGACATTCATTAACATATCTTTGAGCTGAGAGCTTAGGATGACACCTTGTACAGAGGAAATGCTTGCAATCATTTTCACCCCACCTGAAAAGCATATGTCATGCAAATTTGATGAGCGCATTTACTTTTATTCATAGAATGAATGTCAATAACTTTATCACATGCGTAGCACTGGCTAGAAGTGAAAAGAGGGTTAAATCATGTACCTACATCATAAGAGGTAGATGTTTTAATAGCCCGTGAGGTGCATTTTTTCCCCCTTTCTTTTGAGTAAGGCGCATGTTTTCCTAATGAACTGATTGCAGCGGTCACCTATTGGATGGTTGGTTGTATCCTCAGGTGAGTCTTTAGGCTACTGAGCACCTCACCACTAACTGAGAGTAGAAGCTGTAAGATGTATTCTTGATTGTGACTAGCCAAATCTCCTCTAGACTTAAAAATGTCTGAATCCGATAGAAGTAAATGAATGGTTTCGGCTAGGTGGAAAACCTAACCAAGAGAGGGGTAACCTTCTCCTTTTCCCCCTCATTTCCAGTACAATATCATTCTATGTGGTCAACTTGTCTTACAGTTTCATTCCTTATCCAAATGTTTGTTCACTAAGTGTTCACAAATCAACATCTTGAAGGTAGCTACATACTTCCTCATGCTCTATCTTTGTTTTAGTTGAAACAGAACAATAAGTTGGATATATGGTAATCCTATTAATTAGCAGAAATCCTAGAAATTCTGCACGACTAATCTAATAGCACGTACATCAAAATTACTTATTCCAACATTTTATATATTTCCACCTCCTATATTTTTGAGTTTTCACTTAGCGTTTGCACATATCACTTGTCTTAGTAGCAGCTCTGCACAGATTGTTTGCTGTTGTCGAAGTATTCCTGGCATGAAATTAGGGGCAGTAGAAAGTCTTGTTCAATCATGTAACTATTGTTTGTATCCTCTTTTAGGCAACCGCTTAGGGAACTTTTTTATGTCTTCATGATGAATAAACAGGTTAGAAACAAATGGCACCAATGACATGGTTGAACTGTATAAGCATTGGCAACGGTTTCAGCACAAGAGGATAGGCCTTCTGTGCAAAGTGCAAACTGCTGGTTTTGGAGACAAATTACTGACCTTTATTGCGTGGAATCCTTGAGTACTTGAGTCTCAATGTCAACTTATATCCTTCTTTTGGAGGTTCAATTATCTCAATGACATCAGGGCTGATTCCCTTCACCATCTCTAATGTATAACGTGGTAGCCCAGATGAGAGAATGAAGTCTTGATACAGGAGTGGCGTTGCTATAGACAAATAGGTGTTATCTGGAATTGATGCAGAAGCCTAAATAACATCAAACAACTGTAAGAATTTTTATTCTGAGATGCAATAATGTGTACATGATCATGCAAAAGTTACACGTTAGCCTGCCTATGAAAGGTTTAATATTTCATTTTAGCATATCATAATATAGGTTTGAGACTAAACCCTAAGTGCTTTAAAGGTCCGAAGATGATATTAAAAAGAACTGTAGGAAGGGGATAGGCTGAAAAGGAAGGGAAATGTTTACGAGAAGAGGGAAAGCAAGGTAATCTAGAACAGCATTAGGTAAAGAATATTACAACAATGCCATATATCTGGAAAACCACCAATGACCTACAAGAACTGAACTTGTGGACATTATTGGTAGAAGATAAGGACAATATACAACACTACTAGGATGACTCTTATGAATTTTTTACTCATGATGTATCTTTAGTAATCAAAGTCTTCACATGCTTTAGATGAAACTAATAAAATGCATCAAACTTTCACAGGTCAATAGACACTGAAACTGAAGAAACCTGAAGACTGTTCATTAACTGTACCTGAACATGATATTCCACTGATCCAAATTCATACAAGTGGTGATCAAACTCCAAGGGCTTTTCAGCTCTGCCTCAAACCAAATATGACCGCTTATCATGAATAAGAACTTTAAAACTTTTGCAACAGAAGATTAAGAAAAGCTCAACTCATTTAATGAGTTAAATTGCATATTGAACTAAGTGGACTGTTGACCTCTGCATTGCTTTCAGTTTCCGACAATAATATCTAAAAAATGTAGTAGAAGCATGCTAAGTAATTTCAGCAATTCTTGGCAGAACAGCATAGTCAGAGGCAGAGAAGCATTGAAGTTTCCCTGACCTGTATAATCTGAGCAGAATCTCCTTCAATGCTGGTGATTCCCTTTGAAAGCATGCCATATTATGTTTTTGTCTGTGTCTAGACATTGTTTTAGGTTTGAAGTTCAACAGAAGTCTACAACATATTTACTTCTACACCTGAACGGTGCATGAGCACTTTTTGAGTAAAACTCAAGTCTTCTGTTGCAATCATGCTTAGCAACCTGTGAAGCAATATACTTTAGCCTATCTTTCACTTCCCTCCCAGACACGTACAACAAATCAAATGCTTCCTGTCAAAGAAACATCAAACCAATCAGTGTCTGAATTGTACTCTTCATCCAATGAATGATCCTCCTAAATTTGCACTATTTAAGCTGCATTTTGTGCACCCCATGTGAGAATCTTCACATATTAGTCGTTGGATCCAAATAAATTATGGTTAGATCATATAATGTAAGCTGCAATGCTTCTGCAAACAAGTGTATAATTTACCTTATCTTTTCATTTCTTTCTACTACAACAAAAATTAAAGAATGGACTGTGGGCTTAACAGGAGGCAATGGTGCCAAAAGTTATTGTATAACTTCTTGTAACTTATCTTGAATTCTTTAACCAAGGTCTCGATGCACATATGATAGCTGAGAATTTTTACTCCTCAGGCACCAATAATTAGTACTTACTAGCAATCTTGTCTCTTTATGCTGATTGGACAAGTGAAAATTTGGGCATAGCTACCCAAGTAGCATAATTTTTTGTTTTTTTCTAGCTTCTACCGACACTGATTAACCATAATGTGTTGGAAGACTAAGCTAAGAAGGCAACTTGATTTGGTTAAACTTTGAAGGAACATATTACCTACTTAGGCATGTGAATATGTGGTTACAACTGAACAATTACCTAACTTAGAAGGCAAAAGAAAGCTCTTTTGTGGTTAGCTTATGTCGATTATTGGTAGAAAGTCTAGATTTCTTTCTCCTTTTTTTTATATTAACTTAGCATATCTTGTAGGTAATAAAATTCATACAAATTTCAGAATGTAGCTCACTTTTGTTTTCATTTGAGTTTGATCTATTGGAAACCAATTGGTTTTGGTTCTTTTTAGTTTTCAACTTGAAAAACAAAAATCCAAGAAGTCTGACATAACTTTTGAGTCTAATTGATGAAATCTATGATTATAATCATCGGCCAACTACACAAGGATATAATGCAAGTAAACAGAGAAATTTCCCGAAAACATTTAAGTAGAAGTTGACAACTAAGGGACACCAACATAGTCGTCTAACCTGCATTATCTAGAAGCACTTTGATTTTATTGAAAGCATCGTGTTTTTTTGACTTTTGAGCCAATTTTTGGACATGGATGCTTTGTATTTGCTGATTCCAAGTGGGCAAGCACATAATTAACAAATACTACACACTTAATCCTAAGATTTCTTGATACCTCCATATCCTTCCCTCCCGCAATTGTTAGACGCATGATTCGATGACTCGTAAATGTGACAGCGAAATAACCCTTCCAAACCAATTAGAGTACCATTCCAAATTGAGAGCTCGTTCTACTTTGGTCAACAACTCGGCATTTGCATAAATTCTTTTCATTCATCTTTTTGCATTCATGAATCGTGGTTGATATGACACTACTACTATGATTTGACTTCCTCAAAATGAATTGCCATTGGGCCATTTGATTGAAAGAACAAAAGACTCCACTAAGTGGAATCTGAAACGATTATCTAATTTTGACATGTACTCGTGTTCTTTTATTTTTCTTGTTCCTTTTTTTAAGATAAACATGGCACTTGTACTCTAATTAGTAAGAGATTTCGGATTCGAACTCTCCCGCTTACAATAAAAAAAAAAACTATGATAGTATAGACTTCCACTCTTAAGAACAAAGGTATAAACATGTGTTTTACATAAAACAGATGGGTTCATCCTTTCATAGTTAATTACATTGAATTAACTAAAATAGACTACAAAAACAGACAAATGGAGAATATTTGGTGTGGGTAATCATTTGCTTTTGTTTTGTATTGAGTTTGCGTGACACTCTTTCTTTCATAAGAGCTTTGCCGATTGCCATTCATGATTGACCTCTGCCATTCCATAGATGAAGGGTTTTGGCTCTCCATATAGAAAGCTATTCAAACTCACCAAAAAGTGATTGCATGAATTGTATTACTAGCAAATTTGTTGCTTACATTGCAAATGACAAGGCAAAAACGATATATCTCAATAAATGGTGGTCAATTATCCCTTATCTAATCCTTGATATCAAGTAATAGTGAACTTTTCACAGATAATACTCCTTGTTAGAGTACATAAATGAAAGGTGGACAAAAAAAAGAAAAAACAAGTCCACTCTGAACTTGTAGTATCGGGCATCCTTGCCAGCCAGGCTTATCTTGTGGTTCTGGTTTTGTGAAGACAATGATGAGAAACAGCAATAATCTAATGTTTTTCGGTTGACCTTACTTCTCCTGGCCCATCGTTTATTTTGAGTTTGTTTAAGAAAATCTATTTTTTTTGGTTGCATAATAAATATACTTTTAATTTTTTTTTTATTTTTTAATCATATTTTCATCTCATATACATCATATAACCGTTCTTTTGGATTTTGCTCCTGTTGCCTATTGTAGCAAATAAATTTATCCTAGGATAAGTTCAGGCTGATGTCGTTTTGGGTTACCAAAAATCTTGAAAATTTCATGCCATGCAGATATTGACCAAGTAGTTTTCTATTTTTCTTCTCATTTTTTCCCTCCTTCGGGTGCACCTGCCTCAGTTGCTTCTGTGCTCAAGTAAACACATGCACCAGATTGTCTTAGACCAAATAATAATAACCATCAGGAACGTATTACTCTGATAAGATAATATATTTATTGTAAATTTTGTACGAAATTATTCTTGAATGTCCCAAAATTGATTGAGATAAGGTTAACAAGATACTCGTGAATGAATATGAGATGGAAACGGTCACAATCTCAATATAGTCAGAAGTGAATACTTGACCAATCGGCTAACCTATGAGACAGTTCCAAATTAAATTAACTAACCAATCATAAAACAGGTGTGACTAAAAGTTCATTTTGCTTCATCTTTCCCTCTTTTTATAGGTGTTCTCATTTAATTCAAGGCATTGCTCAAAAGATCTCAATTTAGATTACATTAATGTTGCTGGCCCCATTGCCCCAACAAAATGGACCCCTTTTTGTGTGTCCTATTCCTTTCACACAGTTGTATCAAATGTATGTAGCACCGTTTTAAAATCTTCCAAGTTTCAACACTAACAAAAGTCGACGCACAAAATCCCCATTGAGAAAACAAACACTTTCTTTCAATTTTGGTCCTTCAGATTCAGGGTTCGGGAAATCTATTGAACAATCCTTATCAATATCTATTATATTTTTGAAAGAAAAAAAAAACCCAGAAATTCTTCTTAATCATTGTAGTAAATCCGGGCAATCTTTTGAGCTGGAAAAAGAATGTCTTCCAATTTTATATGATCTCTTTTTTGGGGTTTGCAAGAACCTTCCTTCATGTTTCTGAATCTGATTGCTTGAATCTTTCATGAGCTGAAAATTCATTCCTTTATTCGTTAGAAATGTGCATTGACTTTATCGGGTCATGCCGATTGTATTGAATTTCCGTAGTTTAGTTGTCAAGATTGCATCTTTATGGTTTAGGATGATAATTTATTGATATTGATGATTGGGTTGAGATGGGTTTTCTTGATTAAAGATTAACAATCAAGTGTTCTTCTTGTTTGTTGTGGTTTTGGATTGGTGGGTTGAGTTGTAAATACTAGGATAGTGAAGCTCATAGCAATGGATAAGAATGGTAAGAGTGATAAAAAGGAGTGTTTAAATGGTGTAGATTCTCAGAATCTTGCACTGAATGGAGGAAAAGATGAGCAAGAGGAATCACAGCTGTTGTTGCCTCCAAATAATGAAGGTGGATTGTCTAAGAAGTCGGGGAAGCCCAGGAGGAAAGTTCAGTGGAATGATAAAAATGGAAATAAGCTTGCAGAAGTCCTGGAATTTCAACCAAGGTAATATTACTTGTTTTCGATTTTTTTGAGTTATAGATGCTCAAATTGTGGTCAAAGTCTGGAATTTGTAGTTTCAGTTGCATTAAAGGATTCAGGTGAAGTGGATAATTGATTTTCTAACTGTGAGCTTTGGTTTGATTATCTATCTTATTAGTTGGTTTCTGCTTGATACATTGATACTGAATTTTATCATAATTTAGTTAGTCGCGTTTAGAGGATCCATGTCATTGAGATTTTGATGGGTGATCCATTAAGTGATTGCTTTAGGAAGATCTATGAGGTAACATATTTAGGATCATAACTGGATATTGGATTGTTAAATTGCAAATAACAGTGGGATGAACTGAGATGTGTGTTGCAGAATGGTGTCAGTTATATATGCCGAGGAGATCCTGATAGATTGGTTTAATATGTGCCATATAAATCGTGTTACATTTCCAATTCTCGTGATGGTTGATTCCTGGTTATGAGCTCTGTGTTGATGCTTGAATTCTGTTTGGAGATAAGTGACTAAATAGGGCGAATCTTGTTAACTTTTTTGGACCGGTCCCAATACCAAGCTTGATTTTTTTCTTTTGCAGTGAAATCCCAAGATCTGGTTTACTCTACAATGTGTTTCCTGTGCTTTTTTCGTTGACATAGGCCCTGACAATTCCTTCCCTAACAAAACAACCAATTCTCTGCTTCATGGAAAACAAAAACGACTAGGATCAGGAAATTATTCATTGGAGCTATATTCTTAAATATCAAATTTGTCCTTGTAATGGTTTATCTGTATTGGGAACATAAAGCTGGTAGCCTTCGTCAGATATGATGGGCATTAGGAGGTTGATGTCATTCTGACTGCATGTTTTCTGCAGAAGTAGTGATATATTTGGAGCACCATTGTCTGGTGGAGACAAAAGCGGACACCAATGCTCTCTAAATCTGGTAGAGACAAAAACACCATTGTCTGGTGGAGACAAAACCGGACACCAATGCTCTCTAAATCTGGTAGAGACAAAAACTGTGAGATGCTAAAATATGACATACGTAGTGAGTGAATGTCCATGACTCTCAATGTCAATTTAGTTGATTGAATTACATTCAAGTGATTGCAGCCATCTTCTTGCCTCCTATATCGTGCTTTCAAATGCCAATACTTGCCTTATTTAGGTGATCTAGTTGCATTCTATAGGATCTAAATTGTAAGAGTTGACTTGCCATTAGATGAGTTGATGCATCTGCATAATGTCATTCAGATTGTCAGTGTATTGTGGAGACACACTGGTTGTTTAGCATTGGCATTTCAAAATCAAGTATGATCTTGTCATCATTCCAACAGTACTATCTTCTGAATAGGCATCCCGTAATTGTCTCATTTTGTTTTGCATTCTTTATCAATATATTGTCCCTTCCTCTGAGAATCTTAGATTGACATTATGCTTGCAAGATCAAGGAATATGTCCTCCATTGTATCGTATCTATAATACTTCTACAGGAGATTGCTGTTATATCTTAATTCCTTGGTCCTTGGGATCCTTTTCTTCTTCTTTAACTGGCTTTCAGATTTTACTTTTCCAAGTTGGATTATGAGAGAATGAAAGGAAAGGGGAATCTGGAAAATTTTTGGACAAGCAGGGGATTTTGGGAGGGATGCTTAGCCTTGAAGATTTAAGTTTCACAAGTAAATGTGCTGTAGAATTGTTTTATTTAGCCAATCTAGTTCGGGGACCTTGCCTGGAATTAACTTTTTCCTGGGACATGAATGTGACGGCTGCTGCTAAGAAATTTCTTTTGGCATGACTGCGGATGCCCATCAGCACTAACTTTTGGTGTAGGAGGATAGCTTTCCAGGCACCAAGTTGCTTTATAGGAATCTTCAGTGTTATGGGTTCTGGCATCCACGGTTCTGGCACAAGTTACGTCACATATTTTGCACTAAAATTTGTTGGTTGCCATGTTTTCAATGCCTTACAGCAGGATATGCACTTAATCATGAGCCCATTGAACATCTAGGCTACCTTTATGTCTTGACATAAACAAGTGTAACGAATCATTGCTTTATTTAGTGCATAATAAACTTTGGCACTCTACCCTTACTGAAAATAGCAACTGGAATACACGTGTGTAACCTTGATTTCACCCAAAAAAAGTTTGCGCCTCTTTCCATATTCGAGATAGATTTACCGTACTGAGGAATGCATGTTGGCATTTGACAATTCCCTGTGAATTGGTTTCCAGACTTGTTCAACGGACGGTGGCTATATTACTCAATAAACTGAAGTTGTTCTGATGTAATTTCTTGTTTTTCTTACAGTGATGTGAGTGAGTCTGATGATGATGAGTCAGATACCTGCTTCTGTAGGATAATGTAGGTATCTTCGTGAGATTTTGCTGGACAATCGTGGATTGCGCCCGACTCAGATTGTGAAATTTGGGTAGAGTGCTGACAATTCAATTCACATGGAGCCGAGTGTGAAATGATTTCAACATCATTGAAGCTTCAGACTTCTGGATTTCATGAAAATGATGGTCTTTACCATGTAGCAAATTGGTTTCACCTGCTGGAGGTGTGCAGCAACTAGCAATATTAGTCTGTTAGATAGAGAGTAGATTAAGAAGTTCATGATTTGGCTTCCGTATGACCTATAGTAGCCTTATCACCCCATCCCGGTGTCCTGGTCATCTGCCGGTGATTACAAGCTTCCAGTGTAATTGACTTGATAGATTGCAGACGAAAACAGAAAAAAGAAAAAATAGTAGAGACCAGAATTTGTTCTCTGGTGGATTCTCATACTAGTGATATTTGTTTGATAATGCAGCAATAATTGCTCTACTTTTTTGTCAATTTCTTTCTTCTATTTCCTAAATAAAGAATTCCTTGTGCAACTGCTGATTATTGTCTATAACTTCCGAACCCGGCTGATTAGATCTTCCTCGAGTACAATTCGAGATTGGGAACTGGTTAACATTAAAGATGAACGATGCTTCCCAGATTTTCTTGGCAAAGATAAACCAAATGGAGTTTCTGTCTAATGCTACACAATCAAGATAAATTTGATCCATGTACATCAGAGTTCCTTCTTTAGGTATTGTTTACTTCATTTGCATTGAAAAAAAAGAATACAATGTATTACAGATTCACAACAATTTCCCATTATCACTAAAGATATAAAAGCAATCAAGCTGAAAAGAACAAGATAAAGACAAATGTAACAAGACGCCCTTGCCTTGTCTTATTCAGAAATCCACTCAACACCTGGGCAGGGTGGAGCTTTCCAAGAAAATGCAATGTCTGTTCTATTATGAGAGAAAATGCAATGTCTGTTCTATTCTGCACAAATCCAGAAACAGTTTTGAGAATGTATGGTATTTTGGTGGTGAAGCCGACAACTTTTCCTTGGTGCTTAGAGTAGTTCTATCTCATCTGCGGAACGAGTCTGATGCATCCACCTTGATCTTTTTTGATGGGCGTTTGCTATTGCAGCATTGCTGTCCTTACCATTGAAAGAAACCAACCAGTTTGAAAGGCTAGCATCAACTGCAATTTCATGACTCTGAGGCTTGAATTGATTCAAATCCACTGATGAGTTCGAAGCTAAAGGTTCGGAGCTCTTCTTCGTACATAAGGGCATATGCTGCTTTTGCTCTAACACTATGTTTTCCTTCTGATGCTTCAATTGCTGTCTAGTTTTAGCTTTAACCTCTTTCCATTGAGTGAGATTTTCAACTGGAGCAAGCACAGAAAAGACATTGTGACTCCTGTTTCGAGCATTTTGGTTTAATTCAGTCTTGTTATGTTCTTGATGCTGCAAAACTTGAGGCTGCAAAAGATTGCTTCCTTTTTCTGCCAATTGATCGGTTGTAACTTTTCCCTCTTCTTCCACTGATGCCTGGCATAGTTTTTGACTTCTGAAATCATAGCTTTCACCAATAGCATCTTCATCAAAGTCAAGTTCATCCTCATCATCTAGATCGCTATCCTCTACTTCCATCTCATCCTCTTCATCATAGCTATCTCTGCAATTTTGATATCTATAATTCGAAGGGAATGATCCAATCTTTGATGCCATCAAATTGTCTTCATAATTGAAATATTTCATGCTTGCTCCAGCTGTTTCTTCTTGATTATATTCCCACATTGTCTTCTCCTCACCCTCAGAAAGATTGCAATTACTAAGCTCATCGTTAGGAAGGGGCTCATAAGTCTTGACATTCAAATTGAAGCTCACTTTTTTCTTTATTTTCGCGGTCGACGATTCTTTAGGCTTATCTCTGCAACCAAAAGCAGAACACAAGCATGAAAAGCAATCCTTCATTCCCACGATTAGATGTACACCTAAAACCGAATACAACTCTTTTAACTCACCTAAGCTCTGTTGCTGAGGCCTTCTGCATCTCATCACATTCAAGTTTGACCGTAACATCACAGTCCAGAGGTACATACCTTCCATAACTCTTTAACAAAACAAGGCAATTTCCCACAGTAAATTCAAGATATTGAATTGATGCAAGTTTTGTGTATCCTCAAAAGCAAAGAATTCTCTTACCAAAATAAAAGAAACAGAAAAGATAAAAGTCGAGATTTGTCTTACTTGGTGTCCAGATGCATTTTTGCTCCTACCCTTTGACCTTCTCCTTTTCTTGGTGAACCCAAAACAAGCAAGAAAGCACCCCATTGAAGAAATATGCTAGATTTCCACGCTTCCCTGCAAATCAGGCAGGAAGAAGAAGAAGAATGTGGCTTGTCTGTCCTGAGGGATTTTATAAGCACACACACACGGTATTATTAATAAATTATCAGACCAATGAGGGCAACATTTCAAAGAGTTGCCTCCAATGGCATTTTGAAAATAGGAACGTTGAGAAAAGGAGCAAGTAATAATGAGTACAGAGGTGGGTAGACGAGCTCAGTAAAAGGCCAAATATATAGACTAAGACAAAAACCAGCTTTGTCTTTGTAACCCAACAACACCTGTACCATGGTGGCTCCACTCCTCCCTGGCATTGCAGCATTTCTTTCGGGTTTTGTACACTTTTTATTAATACCCATTCTGGGATCTAGAGCTCAACGGTTGCAAGCTCGCTAGCATTCAATAATCAACCATTTATGGGGCATGAAAAGAAGGAAATATGGCCAACCTTTCTGTCAAATTTAAGGGAAATATGGCCAACCTTTTTCATCCCCATTGTTTGGGGATTGGACCAATTGTGGTCTCTATTATTTAAAAAAAAAAAAAAAAGGGACATATTTCATCCCTTAAGTTTTGGTTCTTGACCAATTAATGAGAATTGATTTTTCATCACTCAATTTGGCAGAAATTGATGATTGACAATTAAAACTTGAACAGAGTAAAATGTGTGAAGCTAGGGTGCATACAATTAGTAAAAAGACTTGGGAGGTACAAAATTTTATCGAACTTGATCCATTTCACAAGTTTCCTGTGATTCTTTTCCAATCATTCACCACTTTTACCCATATTATTTTCAAATTTTGAAGAATTTTATCTGATTAAGTTTGAGGGTTTCATAAATTTTGTTTCCCTGAGTCCTTTTTGTTTTGTTTTTTATTAATGATGCATATTTCTCACTTATTTCATTCCGTCCAAATTAGGTTTTTTAAACTTCAATTTTAGTCCGAATTGGACGATTAAACATCAATTGTCCTAAATTCATTAAAAAAAATTAAGACCTGAGAGATGAAATGTGTTTTCGATGAAATGTAACAGGGACCAAATTGGTCCAACTGCCAAACAATTGGGGATGAAAAGTGTATTTTTTTAAAGAAAATTTAATCAAATTGATCATTAATCCTTGTCACATGAACTCATGCATGACTAGTTCCTATGACCATCAAGTCTGAGTTTCTGGTTTGTGGACCATGACATATTAGCTATTATTCCACACAAATCACACTCATTCAAACCTAAAAGTAAGACTGCTCAAGAAAAAACAAAATCATAGTACCCACAAGATAAGAAGAAGGGAACTTTATTGTCCTTAGATTAAAGTACATTATGCAGTCTTTATTTGTTTTCCAAGATTCATCTTGCACAACTATTTGTACCACAAGAAAGTGGCAACAATAATACAAACATATAGGAGATTTAAACCACTGAAAAGTGGTCATTAGTCAACAAACTCATCTACTCTAATAGGAGTGTATGTTTGTAGTTTGTTTTAGGACTAATCATTCACTTCTTGATATAAAACAAAACATTAGCTAGTAGTAGTCTCCTGTCATTTGTTCATGTAGCCTGTACTACACAAGAGTCAATTCTTTCTTCCACATCCATCAGAACTATAAGATACAATCAACTAAAGCAAAACTGCTTGAGGTGAAAATGAAGAAGCCAAACTCGCAAGTCGAAGAATTGGGGATTGTGGTTTTTCGCAGAAAAATTTTTACATTTTTTGCGAACATATTTTTTAATTATCTTTTTACTATATATACATCAAGTCGTTACAGTACTTATTTTTTATAAAAATTTCTAAAAATAACAATCCAAACAGGACCGAAACACACGCATCTTGTGCATTTAGTAAGTTTTTTATTTTAATATGTCAAAATATACAATAAAGCAATTCAACAATAGATTGCTCAAATAATAATAATAATAATAAGTCCCCAAGTTGTGGAGTAAATTTTATATCATGTGACCATGCTTTTCCAAGAGGGATTTTGGTTTCGCTAGATAAGGAAGAGATGGCTTCTTCCCTAATCAAAAGAGTAATCCAATTACCATTACTAGTAATCTATTACACAAAGGAAACAAGTTATGGTAATTATAATATAGTAATTGTGCCTCCATATTACTTTTGAAATTTTGGGGTGTTGAAACCATGCTAAAAGCTTAAGATATTGGTAACAAAAGTGGCAAAAATATCAGTAAGATATGTTGACTGCAAATAGTTACAATTAGACTTATAAAGTTATACAAACTGCAGTATTAGATTCTTGTTTAATAAGTTGCTAACAATTTCTTCCTTTTACAAAAAGTAAATTTAATTTATATAAATTCTTGTTCTACAATATATAATTTCTCTCATAAATTATTGTCTTTTTTTTAGTTTTTTTTTATGGTAGTAATAAAGAAATAAAATAACCATCATGTTTAGGACAAAGAATCGTATGTAGTTCCAAAAATATCTCTTGTAAAGCTACAAAACCTTGACCCTCCTCCCCCTATCTCCAGAGCTCAAATCTCCACCGTTCATCCCAACAAATCTCCACCCTCCATTTCTTATACCCACTCTTGCCCTCTCCTCACTTCTCTTTCTTTCTCCCCTTCTCTGAAATCCAGCAGCCGTCTTTGCTCTTTTCCCCCCTCTACCCCCTTCTTCCCAGCTCGATTAAGATTACTTCTTTTTTTCTTTTAAATTTCAAAGCCCACCAAAATTTCAGTCTTTATTTTTACTGGGTTAAGAAAAAGCAACAATTTTGGTGATGGATTCAGATCAGGGGAAGCTATTTATAGGAGGGATTTCATGGGAAACATCAGAGGACAAATTGAAGGACTATTTTGGCAAATACGGTGACGTATTGCAGACCGTAGTGATGAGGGATAAAGTTTCTGGCAAGCCCAGAGGATTTGGGTTTGTGGTTTTTGCAGATCCCAATATTCTTGATGGGGTTCTTCAAGATAGGCATGTCATTGATGGCCGCACTGTAAGACAATATTAGCCCCTTGTTTTCTCTTTTTTTTTCCATTTAAAATTTTTCGGTTTTGCTTTTAACTATTACTGTCTTTGTATGTGTGTGTGTGTGTTTTTTCCCCTTTTTTTTTTCCTGAGATTAGTTTTAGTTTGATTTTTGAGTGTTTTCTTTGTTTTGGGATGTAGGTTTTTCGTATCTTAATTCAATCTTTGATGGGTCGTAATGCGTTTTAGTAAGTTTGGCATAGTTGTTTTGTTTTGTGCATATGCCTGCAGTTTTATTCCTCTTCTGGGCATTGGTTTTAGCTAGGTGAAGTTGTTGTATTATACGTTGGATGATTTAAGTTCCTTTTATTTGTTATTTGAATTCAGAAAAGGCTAAAATTTCAGCTGTATTTGTGCTGAATTTTTTTCATTATGATCCCTGGAAATTTTCCTGTAGATTGCTAGTATTTTAGGAGTTGATTGCTTAGTATACACTGGTGGCGTTAAGTTGATTCTTTATTTGTTTTTAGCTAGAAAAAAAAGCTTTTTGCCTTTGCTAGTGTAAATTGGGGTTTTGCATTTGTTGTACTTGTAGTTTTCTATTTAGGGTTGAGCGGACATGGTTTATTTTAAATATTGTACATATGGTGGTTGTGGATGTGTGTTTGAATGAATACTGGTTAGATTTCAAGTGTAGGATATGGTTTTGGCTTTTTGAAATCTACCTTCATGTTTTTTATTGCGTGCATTTTTTGTTATTCTGATGATTTAATTTTTCAGTGTTGTGCTCTTTCATATGACGTGTGAAGTCAAGCCCAATCTAGCCCATGTGTCATGATTTTGTTTTTTTTTTTGGGCTTGATGGGCTGTTATTTTGGTTGGTTGGCACTAGTACAAAGCTTATATTTGGTCCATTAACTTGGGCTTTTTACCAATGAAAGTGCACCATTTTTGAAGTTATTGTGGTTTTTGATAGGTCATTGCATGTGTATGTACTTGTGTGGCTTATCTGTGATGATATCTGCAATGACCATTAGGCTACTAGCTTGGGAGTTCAAACCTGGATTTTGCCATTGAGCTATGAAAGGAGAATTTGTTCTCAGTCCGTTCCTCGAGAGCATTGAACTTAGCAGCAGAGATTAATGTTTTATGTTCTTGGGTATAATTAGCATGTGTGTGAATATGTATTTGCCTGTGTGCTGCTATAGCAATATCAGTGTCTCTAATAGCTTTATGTGCTAGTTATGTCTATTACTGTCTTGCGTAACCCTGAGTTCGAAATATCCAGGTTGAGGCTAAGAGAGCTTTATCAAGAGAGGAACAACAGATCTCTAAAGTTGGAAACGCTAATACTGGGAGGAGCTTTGGTGGTGGTGGTGGTGGAAATACTAGGACAAAGAAGATATTTGTTGGAGGATTACCTCCAACTTTAACTGATGAGGCTTTTCGTCAGTATTTTGAATCTTATGGTGATGTTACTGATGTGGTAATCATGTTTGACCAGCAGACGAACCGACCCCGTGGATTTGGATTTATTTCTTTTGACTCTGAGGAAGCTGTTGATAGGGTCTTACACAAGACATTTCATGATTTAAATGGTAAGCAAGTGGAAGTGAAGCGCGCTCTTCCAAAGGATGCTAATCCTGGTGGGAGTGGCCGTGCCATGGGTGGCGGTGGTGGAGGTTACCAGGGATATGGTGCATCTGGTGGTAATTCAAATTCATATGAGAGTCGAATGGATTCCAACAGGTACATGCAATCTCAAAACACAGGAGGGGGATATCCACCTTACGGATCTTCTGGATATAATACTACTGGTTATGGATATGGTCCTACCAATAATGGTATGGGTTATGGAGGCTATGGAAATTTTGGAGGTGCTAATCCTGGATATGGTGGCCCTGCTGCTGCTGCTGCTTATGGAAACCCAAATGTGCCTAATGCTGGTTATGGAAGTGGTCCACCAGGTGCACCAAGGAACACGTGGAACTCTCAGGGATCCTCTGGATATGGAAATGTAGGCTATGGAAATGCTCCCTGGGGTGCTTCTAACACTAGTGGTGGTGGCCTAGGTGGTGCTGGAGCTGCTGCTGGACATTCTCCCAGTGGAGCTGCAGGATATGGAAATCAAGGTTACGGTTATGGAGGATATGGTACAAATGATGGGGCTTATGGTAACCCGGCTACTTATGGTGGTGGCGGGCGTGCAGGGGGTACTCCAAATAGTAATTCCTCAGCTGGAAATGGTGCTGGAGATCTACAAGCTGGTGCTGGGGGTTATATGGGAGGTGGCTATGGTGATACATCTGGGAATGCAGGGTATGGAAATGCAGGATGGAGGTCGGACCCCTCACAAGCTGCTGGCAATTATGGAGGCCAAGCTGGGTATGGTGGAGGCTATGGTGGTGCACCAACTCGGCAAGCTCAGCAGCAGTAACTGTAACCCTTGATGGAGACTTAAACTGCGTCATATACTGGAATCTATACACTCAATGCTTTCAGATTGGTGCAGGTTGGCTGGCTGTTGCAAGATTTTACCAATCAACCTAGGACTGGTTGGATTGCTTGTATCTGAGTAGCTTGCTGTTACCTATTTTGCTAGTTTATAATAAGTAGTATTTGCGAGGAGTAGAGTTACATCTTCTTTATTATCTGCTCTCAAATGTAGTTTTAATTTTGGTGTGCTTATAGCTATGGTCACTAGCTGATCTGGAGTTTTTGTCTATTTGTAGTGTTTAACATATAGTAGCTTTGTTTAAGTTTGTGTTAATTGCGGTGAGTATTATGGTAATGGTTATTTAGTTAAATTTTAATTTTGTCCTTTATCTGGATATAGATGAGCCAGAAATTTATGTCATTGCCATCCGTGATGGTAGTAGTTTCTCATTACTTACCTCTTCTACGTTGTTTGGTGACCAGAGTTCTTTGGTATGATGCAATAGGAACAATGAGATTAGTTAAGCTTCTTTAGACTGCAGCTGTAGCCGGTTTGGGTAGATCAATTCCTAATGGATAGCGATAATCTTAGCGGTAGCTTGATTTTGAGAATGGCATAATCATTTCCTCCTGTATTTGCCCTTGTGTTGTACAGGAGGAGAGGCTCAAGTCATAAACTGGGTGAATTGAAGTTCCTTCACAGGGGCTAATCACAACTTTTTGCTGAGTGTTTGGTGTGGGATGTTACAGGAAAATGAAGTTTGGCTGGGTTGATTTGGTGCTTTACCCAGAAATTGTCATGTTGAAGCAGGCCATGCTGCTGTTAAAGAATTTGGATGTCTCAATCTTCATACAATTTGAGATGGGTGGAAGATTCATTACCCGACAACTTGTGGTATGTTGTCTAATGCAGATGGAGAAATCATCACCACTTAATATACTGGTGACATAGTAGTTGTAGGCTCTATGGCATTATCATGGCTAGCAGAAGTTGAATGATTAGTTACAATAGCAACAATTTTGGTCTGCTGTCTAAGAAAAGTTTTTATGGTAATAAATGATTGAATATTCTGGATTTATATAGGTGATTTGACTCTCATTAATCTTGATAAAAGCCTGGAGCTTGGCAACTTGACTGTTTGATTTTGATCTTGCTAGATATTAATCACCAGTGTTTTGTTTCAAACATCAAAACATGATGCATGGACGTTGCATTGAGACATCGTATTAGTTGTAGAGGCTACTTCGGTTGTAAGCTCTGATGTATTTTGGCTGTATGCTGCTAGTGAACTGTCTTCCTCTTTTATCATTTGATCACATGGTCTAAAAATCTGTTGCTCTTTTGACTTGGAGGGATATGGTTAGGAATGTTTTTGGGTGAAGTATTGGACCATATTGGAGAGCAGAAATGTAATGGTATGTTGTCGGCTATGCTACAGGATTGATGCAGGAGGCCGCTATGTGTTCAATCTTGGCCTTCTATCTGGCATGTGATAAAGGAAACATACTGTGCCTTTGTTGCATTGCAGGATGCCTGCTAGGATAGGGTTTAACCCTCGAGTCACAGTCAAGCAATAGTTGCCGGTGCATCATGGTGGGAAGGGATTTTAGTGGTATTGGACTCGCAGAAGCCTGAGAAGTTAAACTGGATTGTGTTTGTATTCAATGGCATTGCTTTTGAGTTCTATTCAAATTGGTTTCTAACTATATTTATCGTGGTTAAGGTTTCCAATCTACGATAAGAGCTCAATCTACGATAAGAGCTCAAATACAACCATATTTTATGGTGTAATCCCAGTCACATTTAGATTTTGACTGCAAATCATGACTACAGTTGAATGCAAATTCAAGGTTTTAACCAATCTTCGTTCCACAAGCCTTCGACAAAGAAACTTGCAACATTATGAAGCTAGTTGTGAATCAACTTTGCACGTTTGTTTCTCTACTTTTGGTTCTTTTACCTTTATTTCTTGTTTTGTTTTTCATGCTTCTTTGGGAAGCAGTGAAGGACTAACCCAAATGAAATCTTGAGCAGAAATCAATATTGGAGCTTAAAAGACAAAAATGGCAAGTCATCTATCTAGGATTGAATTCTTCTGTTGTTTCTCTTGAGATGGAGATCTTTTCCTCTTCATAGGATGAACAATCAATAGGCTGAAGGTACACCTTTCTGTAGATTGCCAAAGGATACAACATTGCCTGGCCGGGAAAATACAACCTACGATGACATCATTCAGACAATCGTGTGGGATTAAACTCAGAAACATGAAAAATGATAAGCAGAATAGTTTTTCATGGTTTGTACCTGGTAGTTTCCAAGTGTGCATGTTTTGAATCCAGCAGCACAGTAATCAAAATAGTATTCCCACGTCCGGATGAACTTTTCATCGAAACCCAATTCCAGGATTTCACTGAGGACAAAGGCATTAACGCGCCAATCAGTTTCCAAGTCACAAAAGCTAGAACTGTATATGGTTTACTATGAATGAAAGAACTATAAGTGGCACCAGAAGAAAGGTAGCACAATTCTCTTGGGCTACGTTTGGATCGAGGGATTTAACTAATGAAAGGTGTAAAGTTCCTAAAATCTTTCTAGGTTGGATTTGGGTTTGTAACTGGTGTGGATTACAAACTCAAATGCATCCCAAGCAATTCAAACCTATTGAGAGAATTTCAAATCTTTTGTCAAATTCCTCGATCCAAGCACAGCCTTGCTTTATTCTGTATAGAATGCCAAGACATTTATGCTGGTGCTTATTCCTTGCAGAACATCAGTTCTTATAAGTTTGGAACGATGCTTTCAGGTCAAAGGACTTCAAACTAAAACCAAAATTTGGAATTTTGTTCACTAAAACTCTGAAAGAAGAACCATATATTCTTTATTATCGCCTCAGGTGGCTGAAACTAATGGGAATGAACATAGTGCTGATTATATTTCAGATACCTTTGTTTTGACAGGAAGTTTGTCCTCCAACGCCTAAGGGTATGATAGTAATGGATTCCAAAGTTTTCCAGGTGCTCCACGCTGCATTTGAGGTACTTTTATGAGTTTCCTATATGGAGAAAGCTTCAAACACATTTCACACAGCAGTGTAACTTTACCACAGTCCGGATGCTGCAGCCATCGCTGATGTTACTCGGCTAAGTGAAGGTAGGCAACCACCTGGAAAGATGTACTCTCTTATGAAGTCTGAGCTTTGTCTGTATTCTTCATACCTCTCATCTGGTATTGATATAAACTGAGGAGCAAAGATCATGCATCCATGGAGATCAGCAAGTCTCAAGGTCACATGAAACTTTCAACTAACTGGCTATAGTGAGTGATGCAGACATCAAAGATTGTGCTAAATGGATTAAGGAGCCCTTTCAAACTTCCATTTATTTAATTCGAATGCAAGGAGGTTCAGGCAAGAAGTTTGGACGACGTTGGCTTAAATCGAGAAAGAAGATTAAGTTACTGTGGAAGTTTGAAAAGGCTCCTTAATCTGTTTAGCAGAAACTTTGATGTCCGCAATCCGCATCAGTCAGTGATCATCATCTTTCATTCACAAGTCACATTTATCAATTAGTTCTGGGCTTTTGGCCATTGAAAAATAGAGTTAAGATCATTGTTTTCAACCATGAGCAGATTAGACTCATTTTTCTTTTTCTTTGTATATTGACAGGACAGCCAAAACAAAATACTAAAATGATGATCAGGCTGGATAAGGAACTCTACAAGTACTAGACCATTATTTTTAAGAGAGTTTCAAGAAGCAAACAAGATGTAATTGTAAAAATAAGTCTCTTTGGAAGAAAAAGACACCAAAAGCAGACACGGAAAACAAGCATTATGCCAGATCGAGCATTTCATTGAAGGATTCTCACAAGCTAAAACACGTAGCCTGATCAAGGAACCCAGAAGAGTTGAAAAAGCTCGATCGACTTCATTTAATTTCTAGTCCAATTACCTGTAGGACCAGAATCCCATCTTCTGCCAATACTGAGTTGCAAGAGCTGAAATACTTCTCCATAAATTCATGACCAACAGCTTCCAACATCTCACTGCAATTTATCATCAATTCTGCTATATACTCATTGGCCTAGTGATGTATGATGTCAAAAAAAAAAATAATAATAATAATAATGAAAGAACTTACCAAGATATGATTCTGTCATATTTATAGGTTTCTGGCAATTGACGATAGTCGCAAAGAAGAAATTTTATGTGATCCTAGGAAATGAAACGTAGCTAAATAAGTGAGGAAGTTTATGGAAACAGTTCAATTTAGATAGCAGTCTAAAATGATAACAAATAGATCATCTGAAATTGGCTAGAAGGATCAGAAGCATAGATACAGAGAACAGTTTTAATGCAATATGGACATAAACTTTATATTGGCTACTTATCAAATGGTAAACAGTCTTGTGCAAAATCATTTACCCAACCATGCATCCAAAGTGGTGCGTAGTATTTGTGTGGTGCACCAATAATAGGTCTTGTACAGACACCCTACCTACCATCCCCAAACATTCAATTTTTGAAGAGTAGCAGACAAACACGAAATGATCCATTATGAAATCAATGTTCATAGTTACTGTTGGTAACTGCATAATAAGATAGATGGCAACCAGATTGTGGATTGTGATTATTCGGATTAAACATGATCTTCACATTCAGACATTACAAGAACTACACTTTTTAAGTTCATCTAAATTGAGTTTTGATGTCCAATTCGGTTTTGTAAAGTTCCAGAGCCATTGATTTTGATACCTGCATCCCAACTTCCCTCACTTTCTGTTCTGCATATGTAAGTTGCTTCTCAGAAAGGGTGATTCCAGTGTATTGACATCCAGTTCTTTTGACAACTTCAATAGCTAGACTTCCCCAACCGCAGCCAATCTCCAGGACATGGTGGTCCTTACTGATTCTGGCCTAAAAGTCGATTTGCAGTAGGTAAGTATGAACAGACATGGCTTTGATTACAAACCAGCTTAGGAATTTGAGGGACTTGCAAAAATAGAATGCTTACCCTTTCAATCAATAGGGAAATTTTTCTCAATTGTGCAATTTTCAAGTCCTCATCTTCAGACTATGACAAGTACACAAAAAGGGATAGCTTTCAGATGTCAAGACAAAAAATAAGTTTCGCTGTAATTCAGCTTTGAAAAGACTGCTATACTACAGCAAGGCTTAAATTCTTACCTTAAATATTGCACATGAATACGTCATTGTTTCATCCAAAAACAGAGAAAATAGTTCATTGCTCTGGAGACATTACAAGGAAAGAAGTCTTGATTAACTTTCTGCTCAATAGCTAGGCCAATAACTTTCATCAGAAAGAAATTACAATTTGCCTACGTAAAGCCAAATACAACAAGTACTGTATTCTTATTCCAAAAAAGGAAATTGTTTCATAATTAAAGAAAGAAAAGAAAAGGATTGGAGATTGTGAGAATCTCTTAGGAAACAGTTCTAATCTGAAAAATGGAAGACAGTATCAATTTCCTCGCTAAGTCAACAGGAAGAATATCCTAGCAATGTCATATTTAAGTTGGTTCTTGCTGAACTGTTCATTGATAAATGACTCACCAGATCATAATGCCGAGAGATGTTTCGGCGAGCCTGTGTTAGAGTATTTTGTCTTGAAACATGCTGAAAGAAGTACTTTGCAGATGCTAGTCCAGCCGTCAGAAGCAGTGGTGTCCACCAGCCTCTGCCAAAAAAGTTAAATGCATGCGTACCAAAACTAAGGAAATGGCGGGACTCTGGATCTCTGGATAAACTACTCAGACTAACATCTAAACACATCTAACTGAAAATCCTTTTACCTTTGGTAGCTAGAACTTGTGACAGAAGCTTTAAGATCTCTGTTGGCAACATAAACCTGAAATGAAGAATTCAGAAAAGGGATGTTGATGAAAAAGCTTGAAAGTTGTTTGGTGTTCATTTACTTACCATGAAAAGATTAAGCAAACCTTCATTTTTATCCACGAAAGAAATGTCCCCGTTTATATAGGCATCTGCAAGGCCTAAGTCGGCTTGAGTAGCAACCTGGCAATACAACATTGACATGGAATGAAGGCAAACTCAAAGCGCATGCAACTGGAGACTATGTTCAAATGCTGTAAACATCAACCAAAGAAATACTGTGCCTTCCAATAAAACTGTGGGCTGTGAACTTTAATAGAAACTTTCAGGAAGCTTTTCTTTGTTGTTCCTTCAAAGGTAAACATTGTGCCACCTTCTTCCAGTAACCTGTTAAAACAGAAAACACAGATAATGCATGTAACTTTGGAGCTTTAGGCCTATAGATTGGACTCTTAAAAACAACTTTTAAACATCAAAAAACTAAGAAAAAACATGCTTATTTAATCACATCGGGAGCTAATATTCAATAACAAGCAAATTTGGCATAAGTGAGCAGGTCTATTGAAGAACCAATGATAAATCCGGTTAAAGTTTAGGAATTAATTAATGACAAAACAGTCACAGAATTTGGATTTGAGAGAAAAAGAATGTAAATGGTAACATAGACAAACCACTGCAGTATTAGAATGTAAACGATAGACAGATATAAGTTCGATAAACAGGGATACAAATTCGATAGACAGTTAAGTTCAATAAATAGGTATAGTATGCCTTTGTTCTAAGTCTTCTTTGTGAAAATATATAACATGCAAATGAGAATTAGTTTACTCTCAGAATTGACTCACATTAATGAGCCAGTAGCAATAAAACCATTGAGGAATTTAGTAACGAGAAGGCGTGCCCCAGTCTCTGTCCAGGAAGGTACCATGTGTTTGGGGTTACTCAGGATAGTACAACTTTTTCTGAGCAGGCTCTGAGCAGCAACTGTACCAGCCTGAAAAGAAGATAAGATGCTTAATTGCAACCAATAACTTGCCTATATGGTTAATAAGCACTTCTGGAACCAAGCCAAATATTAGAAAATATACTTCACTAGAAACATTTCTTTCCAGCTTCTTAATCTTGGGTTTCATTCTTTCGATCAATCTACAAGATTTGCTACACTCAATTACTCTAATTATGTCAATATGATGTCAAAATGGAGAGTACCTTAAGTCCATCTTCATGGAAACCATAACCTGAAAAAAGTATAGTGTCAGATGCAAAAGTGAACTCTCACATAAAAATTCAACATTGGGTGCACTGGTTTTATAATGAATGTTTTTGTGCATTAGAAGGTGACATGTAAGATCTTCAAAGTGAAGTGGTCACCTTGATATGCTCCACAGAACCATATTCCTCTCTTCCCCTGGATGTCATTAAGTCGAGTAGAAGCTTTTGAGGCAGCAACTGATGGAACTGGATGCCCAGTTGACCACCTGAGTAATGTATTCTCAGGTGTATGAGGCGGATTGAGAGTTACCAGGTAAGGCAGTCCAGTTTCTCCTAGATTCTGTACGCTAAATATTGTTATTCATGCTGAAGATATTAATGACAGAAGAAGCACATTGCATAAATTCCATTAATGCAGCAACATGAAAATGAAGTTGCTGGAAGCTGGAAATAAGAAATTGAGCTTATTTGATATCTTGAGCGTGCACATTGATTTCTAAGGTTACTGATACATCTTTTGGAAGTTCCCAGTATTTCTTTGAGGGCTATTACTTATTATTTAAGTTAAAAGCTCATACATAGCACTGTGATCAAGCCAATTGCACAGAATTCTCAAATGCTTTTTGTGCAATTGTTCGTTATGATGGATTCTGAGAGCAATACAACTAATGATCAAATATATTGGGAACACATCTCACCAACCTGGAGGATGTTGAGCCAATATGTTACACATACTTTATTATCCACAGTTCCAAGAAAATTCCATGCGCTCCATGCTGCTGGATTTTGGGGCATGAAGTTTTTGTCACGATGAAGGAAAATATCACTGCCATAAAGCGGTAAACAATGAATGTGCATTTTGAACTGGTTCCATGACCCAGCATATTTATTAAAATTGAAACCAGACCTTCTACAATAAGAAACAGAAGAGAAGTATTGGAGAAAAGAAAATCTCCAAACGAAATACAACCTCCCAAAACATGTTGACGTAAGAAAAGGAGAAGAGAAAAATTCACCGCAAACTTTGCATTTCTGATAAAATTTAGAATGGAGACGAATAGAGGAGACAAGCAACAATTTGTATCAAGGTTAAGAAATCAGCAAACTAAGAGCCAACATTAAAAAGTAAGATACCTGTAGGCATATTGGAAAGCACCAAGTATTCTTGATTCATCATATGTTGCCTGCTCTCCCAAAATCTTAAGAGCATCTGGAGCATGCGCAGCCACTATGCACGAGTTATATACTTCAATGGAACCATTTTCACATGTAACAACACAACCTGTACAAGTTTCTTCTTCATTATGAATGGGAGTATCAACATAATCAATAGCACACAACCTAACAATTGAGCAAATTATATCTCTACAGTCAAGACTGCTATATTTTGGTTTCTGAGTTTGGAAATTGTGTTATGTACTGTCTTTTGGCATGAAACTAAGAATGACATCCAAAATTCTCAACTAAGGAAAAAGATATAGACAATAAAACACTCGTAGAAAGTACTCAAAACAGAGAGATTTTAGAAGACACTAGGAAGAATCCTGCTTGGTTTACAACCACCAGCTAGTATATAAAGATTGCGTCTTCACTATTTTCTCATGTAGAAGGCAACCATTTGTTTCTCTGAAGCAATTGTTGTGTTGTACTTTAAACCGTCCTAGGATGACATATCAATATTCTGGTTCCAGTTCCAGCTTTAATTGGTCTGGTTTTTACTTGAACAAAAGAACACCATCCAATTTGAAATCTACAATGTTTGAGCATAATGTACGAGTTGATACCCTCATCCTTAGTTGAAACAGCGCGTACTTCACAACCATTTCTTATTTGACAGCCTCTTCTTTCCAGATCATCTTTAACCTGGTTTGTGCAAAACAATAACAGAATATACAGTCCTCTTATGCATTCAATCAGGGGAATTTTCAGTGGTATACAACAAAAGGAATTTAAATTAATTACCTTGGAGATGTAAGTCTGGGAACGCCATCTTACTGTGAGCCACTGAGGGCGACCAAAGAGCTAAATGGCAAAGGGAAACAGCAGCCACATCACATATTATTTCAAAAAGTGCAGTTCATCTCAAATTCTCAATGGTGCCTGCAAGGCACATTACCTGAAGAAGGTGGTGGTTACGACAAAAGGAAAGAATAGAATACGCAGAAAAGTTCAATACTCCTTCTGAAGAGCATGACCAGATAGAAGCACATATTGGAACCTGTCAAAAAGCAGAGATATATGCTTATGGTATTATTGTGAAAGCAAGCTCATTTAATACATTGGTCAAAAGAAAATCAATGCCATAAACTAAAGCATCTGTAGGAGCCTCACAAGATAGGCCTTCTGAAATAACTCTGAGTATCCACGTGATCTGATGAAATGCCCAAGTGTTTCATTCCGATCTAAGTCCGGATTTTTCTCTAGCTCTTCTACATAACTGCATTACGTATAGAACTTTTTGTTAGTTCATCCTTCATTAGATGCATATTTAACTGGAGAAGTCGATCGCATATGCAAATCCTCTAGTTGCTCCCAGGGAATTCAGGTAAGAATTGACTGATTAGCACCAAAAACTATTTTTTCCTAATATTGACACCATGTAGAATTCTGCAGTCGCTTCATTTCGTTTGGCTTCTGAGATGCAATGGAAAAACATTTCTTTAAGGAATTCTTACTTCAATGAAAACACTAAAAAGGACGAGGAAACCTACCTTATGACATCAGCCTTAAACTTGACAATTTCTCGGATCATTTGCCAAAATTTTGGATTAAGTACATTCTTCTTCTGTGCAAACAAACTTGACAATCCATTTCTGCTCCCCCATTCACAGCCTTTGCCCTTGTCTAGGCTCACTGAGAATGACATATCAGAAAGCTCCATATCTACTCCAAGATTCTCAAAGAGTTCCATCATATTTGGATAAGTCACCTGGCCAATTACCCAACACACCATTAGCTAAACAGTCCCAAATTTCCTCGAGTAAAAATTAGCATAGCATGCAGTCATTTCTTTCCACTTTTGTTGCTGCTCTTGTTAAAAACTAAAGATTTTTCAGAATATTCAGCAGTCTTGCTATAAGTATCATCTTTTACTTAATTCCACCTTTGCTTTTCTACTTAGATCGTAACCGAAAAAACAAATCAATTTGCGCTTAAAACAGTTTCATCAACTATTTCCTACATAATGTTTGTGTCATGCATTGCTAATGTCTCGTACTAACTACATTTTGATCCATGCAAACAGCCCTGAAAATTTACGACAAAGAACAAGGCATTTGAATTAGGAGACCTGCATCCTTGTGGCTTGAGCAGCTGCTTGTTCAATATGATTAAGGGTTCCCTATTTTTTCTGGAATTTCTTCATGCCCTTTTTTAACTACCAAAATTTATAACCAGATTCAGGTTTAGAATGCATTCAAATTTTGTATGCTTCATATTCCAATAACCAATAAATAATGGCAATTTCGCAAGGTAGTAATGCTCCATATATTCTTTTTTTTTTTTTTCTTTTTCTGTGTGTAATGCATAAAAGTGTTCTTAGAATTCTACTTGGCAGATTTTATCATTTTAGTACCATTTCTTTTCTGTAAAAGCCTTCATGAAGAAGAGATATTTGCTAATGGTCCCTGCCCCCACCCCCCAACCCACCCACACCACAACCCTCCAAAAAATCCCATGTCCCAAAATCTTATCAACAGCAAGGTGTACTACAAAATACCATCACTGACACTTTAGGCGTTAGGATTTTGGAAGATAACAACAGAGATGGTCCCTTATCAAAAACCATTTATTAACAAATATCTAAGGTTAAACTTAAAAAATGCGGGTTAATTCAATTTTACATCTTTAAAACTCTACTACAGTTCATATTTTGGTCGCTGAACTAAAGTTTGGTATATGTTACTGTCCAAAATCTAAACTTGTCCCACTTTAATCCAATTGTTAATGGAATATACAAAACTAACAGAATATTTTAGTTTTAGCAATGAAGTAATCAAGATTAGCAAAGGTATTCAGTTGGTTTTTGTGCATTTTGTTAACCATTGTCGAGTTTAAAATTTATGGAGCAAAAGTGTTCTAAACTTAAAATTTACCGACCAAAGTGAGAATCGAACAGTTCAAGAGTGCAAAGTAGGATTAGGGTGAGAAATATCTAACAACGTTTAGCCATATCCAAACACAACGATAGGCCTTAGTTCATTGAAGCATAGAGACAAAACGTGCATTGATGTAATATTAGGACCAATCTTGGCTTAATTGAGATGAAAGTAGCTTCTGTAATTGACTTCTATGGTCACATTTTCACTTCTAAAATTCCTTGAAAAGGAAGGAAAAAAAAGAAAAGAAAAGAAAATCCTTTCTTGATTACGACGGCAGTCAGTCGCTAAAGAGAAGATTAAGAAAATATTCAGCTGCTAGACCATAATTTTGGCAAATACTTTTAGAATAATATAAGTATCTAAATTTAAAACCATAGAACAGAGCCATGACAATCTAAAAATACGTAAAGATGCATGCATCATTTTTACGTTTTTTCAAGAACAAATTTTTGCCACATTTTTGTTTCTTCTAGCATTTGCTTTTTTTCCTCTAATAAATAGAACTTTCATTGGTTTGAACTTCTTAATGTTAGTTTGCTTAATAAGTGAAATTTTACTGGGAAAGAGTCAAAATGTAAGTATGAGCATTTAATTAATCAATTAAATTTACATTATGTGTATTGACAACAGGCACATTTTTTTTTTTTAAAACAGAACCCTATCAATTGTTAGATAGCTACTCGCATAAAAGGAGAATAAAAAGAACTGTCCATCTCCCTTTTTTTTTTTTTTTTTTTTAAGTTCTTGAGTCATCACATTTTCTCTAACATATTATACTTTTGTTTAAAGATGTTTGTTTCTATCTTCATATGTGATCAACAAAATGCTAGGATAGATGCTAAGACAAGAACATAAGTTGATACCACCAAAATATAATTATCATATCTCGAAAAAATTAAAATTTCATGAAAAAGACCACCAACTAATCATATGCATCTATATGCGTTGGAAAAGAATCATGCCATGCTGATAAGTATATGATGTGAGTTAAGTACCATTTTCGGCTTCTATAAAATGAATATTATGGTATTAATATCTATACTGTATATAATAGAAGAGCGTTAAGTTTTATTTATAATTACTCCCATCTCACCATCCACCCCAACCCTCCTCGGAGATATTGAGTCTGGTGTAAACTTTTTTTTATTATCATTTTTTAGATTTTCAATTTTACTCTCACAATCACTTGATTATACCTTTGTTATCTGATTACATGTTACCTATATTGCCAACCAATATAACCATAACTAACTTTTACTCTTAACCACCCACAATTTGTAACCACCAAGTTCATTAAAATTTTATTAAATTTTTTTTTGAAAGATCAAAGTTCTTTTTTTTAATTTAATCATAACCACCCACAAATATTATAACCACCAAGTTCATAAAATTTTATTCAAACAAACTTTTGAAAGATGAAAATTTTTTTTATTTATAAAAATTTTATATTGACTTCTTTCATGCAAAAAGTGATTTTTCTTAAATTGCATGCGCACACACATCGAGTCTGCCCTTATTACTAGTCCTGATAATGCTTTATTCATTAGAACAGAGTTGACTCATATGTTATGATGTTAGAGGAGGAGGAGGAGATCTGCAACCGTTGCAACAGTTTCTAAAGGTTCATGGCTAAGATTTGGCAAAAAAAAATATAAAGTCCAAATTGTATGTTGTACATCGTTTTTCATATCATGCGTGAGACTCACAAAATTTTATTTTATAGTTACACGTTATTGAAAGTAAATTATATTTTGTATATACAAAGTTACATCTTATACATTTTGCACAAAATCAGCCCGAACCATTTTCCTGACAACCGTTCACCCCTGTCCTGTTAGTTAGTGAATGTGGCCAAGCTCTGCTGAGGTCGTGGCACAATCAGAATCAGGAATTATTGCCTATAACTACATCCATCCCTTTCTATCCATATTCATGTCAAGAAAAAATTTTCACTTTGGTTCTTGTAATTTTACAACACCTAACTCAAGCAGTTTTCCCTTATTTTACTTTGACAAGTCCTCGAATTTTAACTGAGAAAAGGATCTCTAACCGGGATGCATCATCCGAAATTGGAAGTTGAGTTCTAAAATGAGGAGTATTCGCTCTGCACTAGTCGAATAACAAGAAATATTGCTAGGCTAAATAATTATGGTTTGTTATGAAGCTGAAAGAGTAATTATTTTTCTCAAGTACTATTGGAATTGTAAACAATGCTTTTGGTATTTTTTTCTTGTTCTGAAATTCTTGAAAAGTTGAAAACTTAGATGTGAAGAGAATGGAGCATTAAGAATGATTCCTGGACTATTTATGGGGAAAAGATGCACCCAAAGTTCATAAGAATCAACAAAATGCAATGACAAAAGGAACATAAAATTGCTTTGTCTTACACGATTGAAGACCATGAAGCCAAGGTCAAGATCAATGCCATCCATAGTAACAGTCTTAGCATGGCCGCCTAAGTAATCCTCTTTCTCGTATATTACCACATCGACACCTTCCTTGGCCAAAACATGAGCTGCAACCAGCCCACTAATCCCAGCACCCACCACTGCCACTCTCAGCTTAGACATGCTTATAAATATTTGATACCACCAAATTCACTCCCAAAATCAACTGCATTGACAAAAAATTCACCACTTGAGAAAGCCTCATGATACAATCCAACCTTTGCTTATATGCACTTTTGTAAAAGATGACTATGAAATTTAACTTCCAGCCACGACTTCGACTGGTTAATCTGCTAATTATATGATATGCAAGTGGTAAATTGGAATCTACACAAACAAATAAATGTGTAGGATAATAAAAGAGAAATGAAAATTTAGGAATCCTTGAAGGGTTGGAAGACTTTGTTCTCTTGATAGCATTGGACAAGAACAGCATTCAACATTTTCTTGAACAATTTTAACTTTAAGGATTTGCATGCACGTCTTTTGCTATGGAAATGGGAGAGAAGAGGGAGTTTTCGTGTTGAAGTTACCTTGTATTCCAGATAGCGTGGAGTGAGGAGAGGGCAGAGAGGAGAAAGCGAAGAGAAGAGAGGACTTCTGGTGTTGCCGTTGAAGGCTGCAAGACTCAACAGTGCTCAAAAGAAGCGGCTACTCTTATTTGTTTCTATTCTTTAGTCTGACTGGTGGAAAGATACAATGAATATTTTGTCAGAATCCAAAGGTTGGAAAATTGGTATTGGAAGAACAAACGGAAGTATTTATTGATGGAAAGGGAAGGGAAGGGAAGGAGAGATTGTAGATAACCCATTTGAATTTCAGGTTGTTATAGAGATTGTAGATAAGCCCATGTGGATTTTTGGCACCGGTATACCGTTCCAGTTCCCAGAATCAGCTGATGCTGCTGACTTCGGTGCATAATAATATGGTTGAACTTATTACATTATTTGATGCATAATTATAGGGATTTGCTAACGGTATTTATAGTGCATTTATTAACACATCTTTCTAACGGTGCCGACAGCGTACTCATTGATAAATCTAATATTCATCTAATCTAATATGTATGTACATATTAAACAATCACTACCGTCTCTTGTATTTATATGTTTTTTTATTTAATTGTATATATCTTTTCTTGTATTTATTTCCTCTCCCTAATTAATTTTACATTTTAAAAAATATTGCATCTGAAATATATCTAACGAGTGCTCATAGGATAGACAAATCCATAATTATATAACGTACATAACTAAAATACTTCATATTCGCTTCATATAATAATATAATATGGTTGTACATGGAAGAATTCAAACATATGCGCAATCGAATTGAACTGCCAAAAGCAAAAGAGCATCAGTGCCAAACCCTTATGCTTGAATGCATAGCTAGCTATCTTGAAAATGGTAATAAGTCATACATTATTAAATTTGAAAATGCAATAACGAATTCCTCTCACCATGCTTTGAATTGTTATTCTCTTGTTGCTAGAAATTTTGGAGAATACGGGAATCCAATGAGGCTAAAGATAGGTTTCGTGTTAAGATAGTAATCAAATATTGCCTCCCCGCATTTAGCACTGGCAGAACAAGAAAAAATAATTATAACCAAACCTTCAGACGCTTAGTGATGAATAATTACGGTATATATTTACATTGAGGGTAAATGATAGTATCATTTTTGGTTTTTCCCAAAGTGTAACCTTCAGAATTTTGGGTTGGCGTTGTATTACTACCGTTGTGTGTATGTGTGTGTGTGTGTCTCTCTCTCTCTATTGACCAAAACATTCTACACATAAAAGGGAATAGCAATTCAAGTCAGGGTAGCACCGTAGCAGGAAGCAAATATTGGATCAAAATAAAACACTGGATCTCTTCCTTATATGCAAGCTTCTTTGATTGATCACTCCGCTGGTTCTATTTTGGTGGCCTGGCAAAGTTGTACAGCAATCTGCAGAAGTGTATATACAGCAGACATGATTCCAGAACGGTGATTGATCACCAAGAGCACTAATGGGTAAATAATCCAACACGTTGCACTATGGTGGCTGCAACAAAATGTGCGGTTGTGAGCTCAACCACATCATTCAAGAATGACAATATGTTATACAAACATTGTCCTTCATATTATATTTTCAACGGCAAGGTCCAAAATGATTTGTCCTCAAACCTACTCTTTTAGCATGTTCTGTCCAGTTTTTGGGGTATTTCAGAAGTTCCCTGGAGGTTTTTGGCATTTCTCTTGAGGATTTTGACTTGCATTTGTCTCCCCTATTTTAAGTTTTAATGCGAAAATGTCATATCATATACATAAAGAAAAAAACTCGTATGAACTGCTTTCAAGTTGATTTTCTTACTCAAATTTGAGGGTTCTACTTTATCTCTAAGGACAAGGTGCAAAGCTGAAATCACCCAGGATAATCTAAATCCCATTTTCACGTGTGCTGTTAAATCTTGCTAGAAATGAAAATGCTAGGTGCGCTCTACGAACTATAAAGCCAATTAATTGCCTAAATTTCTTGTATTCCATGTAATTCGTACACTAAACCATACTTTCTCAGCCCAACGGTGACAAAAAAAACAGCAGCATTGAACTCGCCATAGGCGCAGTGTTTGCTAATTAAAATAAGGCACTCGTTAATATTTAGTTCAAATATTAAAATTTTGGAAAAATAAAGTTAATTTACACACACACACACACATGTATATATGTGAGTGTATGTGTATATGTATGTATGTAAAGGAGTGTAATAATTGTTAGTGTATGCATTCAATTGATAAATTAATTGTGATTTAGATGTGTTAATGAGTGCTTATTGAGCACTTGTTAGAAAAAGTCACTAAAATAAGGTTCCGTATGATAAAACTGAATCTGAGTTCTGAAATCTGAATATGAAATAATTAATTTGTTGAATATATGAATGTCTGAATTTTAATGCTGAATCTATATATACTGTTTGATAAACATTTATAACTGAATGCTTAATAAGTTAGATTATACATTTTGCCCTTCTATCTTTTCATCCAAAAAAGAAATAGAACCTATGATTTAATTAGTTTAAAATTATTAGGTATGAAAATGACAATATTTATTTTTAAATCAAATTAATATAAAAGATGAAATATATTATATGAGGAGTATGGAGAAAATATGAAAGTCATTAAATATGGAGAAAATAGAAATAGAAAACTGTTAGATAGAGAATATCAGGTTGTTTTATTAGATTAGGATGTTGAATAAAGAATATCAAGTTGTTTAATTAGATAAAAATTTTGAACATAATTAACAAACAAAGGTAAATTTGATAGATAAGATAAGGTAGTTGAACTAGTTCTATTGATTCTTATCCGAATTAAACATTTAGTTACTATTTTTGTGCTGAAAAAGATACACATAAATTCAGCACTATTTAACAAGTTCAGCAAATAGATTTTTATTTATCAAACACTCAAAATATCTGAATGTCTGAAAAAAGTTCAGTTTCAACACTTTTTTATGTTATCAAATAGAACCTAAACAAGCATCTATAGACGTTACACTTTCAAGTCATAGTAGTATTACTAGTATAACTAAAGCCTCAACTTCTTTTATTTTATTTTATTTTTTGTAGTGTAAATGAGAAGGTATGAATTCGGGATCTGCTTACATTCTATCATTCTGTACCACTGAACTCATCCCTCCCCGCCTTCCAAACTAAAGCGTCAACTTATTATAAATAAGTACATATTGTATATTTACTTTGATAGTATCTATATCTATATCTATATCATATATAAAAAAATATTTTGAACGATTTATCGATATGTGTTTTTTATTCTTTTGATTTGACTAATATGCCCAAAATTATATAAATATTAGCTTAAATATAAAATCAAGTATTATGGACAATTAAAACAATTTGCCTACATACTAATGTTTACAAATTGAACTTTATTAGCCTCTCATCTTCTATTCAAATACTAATACATACAAACACTAATCATCAAATAAATGATGAACTTATTAAACTCCTAATTGCTAATCAAATCCATTATTATTTCATTGATATTGGTGAAATTTTACCAAAGAAGAAGAAATCATCATTAAGCTATATCAAATATTGGGAAACAGGTATTTGGAAAGTTATTACGACCATATCAAATTATGGATTAATGTTATTATTAGTCTTTTAATTGTAAATAGTCTCTTAATTTGTATTTTTATATTGTATTTTTATATATTTTTCAAGAAGTTAATGAGAATGGACAATTGCTTGCACTAATGCATATCACATACCTTGATTATTGCAACTATTGGAATTAATGATGCATGCATGCAAATTTGCAAACCTTTGTAAACAGTGATTGCATGAAATCTTTAGGTGAAAATAGAAATCAAGTAATTGATAGTTGGAATTATAAAGACTCTTTATACACAATACGTTTTCTTTTTATCTTTTTTTAAGAAAAATATTATAAATTGGGAAATCAAAGTCCGGTTGCTGACGTCTTCATGTTGACGATTTTTAGATTTCAATCACCGTCATGTGAGCCCCTTAGGCCTTATCCATATCTACGTTTTGTTATCTTAATTTCCATTTATTTTTAATTTTGATTGATTGGTTGTTTTTAGATTTTTTTCATATTTTGTTTTGTGTTTTTTTCCTTTTTTTTTTGTTTTGGTTAATTGTGTTGTGTTACTTGATGATGATAATGATTCAATAAAGATGAGATTTTTCTATCTGAATTAGATATATTTATTTTTTTATTTACTGATCATGATTATATTGTCAATCTATGATACTATTCATTTAGATATGTCAAATTTTAATAGATGAATTCAAGAAGGGAGGAATGAGTTGAGTTTGATGGTATGGGAAGAGAGAGTATAAGTGAGAGATCTCGAGTTCGAAACCTTCAACTTACACTTAAAAAAAGATGAATTAAAAAAATATTTATTTTTTGTTGTGACAATTTTAGGTCCCATTTTACCAAACAAAAGAATTATTTCTTTTTCTTTGTGACAAATTTAGGTCCCATTTTACCATATAAGAGAGGAAAATTTTAATGAAAATAAATTTGGGATGTTGAATTTAGACAAAAACATGATAAAAGTGAAGTCTGATGATTCTCTTAGTGGAGGATACCTAAATTTTTTTTTCAACTTTCAGTATTTGTCTATTCTACATCTACTCCTACTTCTACTCTATCCTATTCTAAGGGGGACCCAACTGAGCCTATGGGGAGGGCCGACGGATACTGAATCACTATCGAACCAAACGAGCGCACTACATACCCGTCTGGATTTAGAGAGCCATACCTATAGCAATTAGTGGGACACCAAGCCTAAAAGGTTTGATGGTGGCCAACTCCTCCATTGAAAGTGTGGAGGATACCTATACGAGAGAGGCATTTTGGTGGTATTAGTCTATGTCTACTTATTAGTATGACATCAATGGAGTATATTTTGTTGATGATTCGAAGTTGATTACAATTTTATCATAATGAATAGGTTTCATAAAAAAAAAAGAAGAAATAGATACCTTGGCTCCAAGACTCGCACCCGAGGGCGCGCCAATGGACCCTTGTTTGCATATCTTACTAATGTAAAACAATTTGTTGAACAGCAATATACATTGTAAACAATACTATAGATCCGGTCTCTAGTTTAAAGTGCTAGTTATAATGTGAAGTCAAGAATTCAAGTTTTACCTCCCATAATTGTTATTCAATGTGGCTTTCTCTTAGATCTAACGATAGCGGTTAGTTCTGTTAGGATTGCTGATGATACAGTTCAATCTATCCCTTTCGCTATGAATTAACAATATGTGTAGATAGGTTCTAAGCCTAAGCATCTGTTTGTTTGGAAGGAAAATATTTTCCTGATTTTCTATTGTTTGTTTGGGTTATTGTTTTGGGAAAAATTTTTCCTGCCAAAAATATTTTACATTAGATGATGTAAAATGACTTTCCATATAAATGAATTGAAGTTATTTTCCATGTCCGCATCGTTAGTCGTGAGACTATCCATTCAAGCTCTCCCACCAGTCTTAAGTTTCGTAACAAAACCCACTACTTGTGCAATAGTCCACTAAAGATTTGTAGTCTCCATCTCCTCTTAAACACAGGAAAAAACATGGAGAAGGATATTATTTTCCTTGATAAAATTTTCCATGGAAGACATTTTCCGTTGAAAATGTTTTACATTGAATCAAACGGACCGTAAATCTAGATTAAGTTCTGTACACGGGAAATTAACGTGACAATGATACCGCATGGTAGGACTGGTAACAAATCGTGTCGTTTGGACCAAACTCATTTGCTTATATTGTTGTGCATACTTATTTTGGACGCAGGAAATTCTACAAGGCAAAACTACACACACCCGGTTGGTCTGAAAAAAGTATAGTTTGATTAGTGCACCAATTAGCACTGGCAGCGAATGCTAGAAAGATTAGAAAGTTAATCGAGTTCATCACCTCTAAACTCATGGGCATTTGTTCTGTGAACCTGATATTTTCACTTTTATGAGATTAAATCACAGGAATTGAGACTACTCTAGAAATGCAATTTTTATAAACTAGAGAGATCGATTAATTGCTAATTGCTATGTTCCAATAACAGAAAAAGGCATTAGCTGTTAATACCCTAAAATATCTGAGTAAACTTGAAAATGGGCTACTCATTAAAAGGGATCACACAGGTTGGGCATTTAAGTGAAACTACTCAAGAAAGAAGAGTTCAGTTTGTTTTATTTCTAGTTTGGCAAGTGAATTGATTACTTCCTTCATTTGATGTGTTATTTTAAAAGTTCAATTTGTTTCTGGTTTGGAAGGCTGAGTTGATTACTTCCTTCATTTAAAAGTGAAACCACTCAAGAAAAAGAGTTCAATTTTTTTTTATTTCTATTTTGGTCACTTTGTCCGCTCAATTCAAGCCATCAAATTGTCCATGATGCTGAAAGCATTAATTTTTCATGCCTCCCAATTAATTTCATGGGTCTGCCCAAAATTTAAAGAATAATTTGGACTCTTTAAGATGTAATTTACGTGTTAATATTTTAAAAATGTAAAATTAATTATGAAAAACTTATAAATGCAAAGTATGATAATAATTATTAGTGTACGTATTCACATGATAGGTTAGGTGTGATTTAGATATTATAACAAGTATTCATTAGACACGTGTAGAAAAATTTAATTTCTTTAGGATTCTGAACTATTTAATAAGGTAAAAATAGATAATTATAGGCATTATTTGTACAAAATTATTTATTTGTATCACAAACATATTTTTTCAATACACCGTTTTATCTTCTTAACTACTTTTTATCTCACATAAATCACATTGCAAAAGATGATGCATAATTATTCAAAATAATATTTTCAAATAAACTGCTATCCAAACACACTCATAATTCATCTATTTTTCCTAAATTTTAAGGCATGGTTTATGCCAAAAAAGTATGCACTCTGCGAAAGGAAGTAAATGCACAAAATTTCCATGAATTCCTAGTCTTAACATTTTTTAGCTTCTTAATTAATCTCATTTTTCAAATTGAGTAAATATTAATTGTCCAAGACTTTCTTCCTCCTTCTACTTCAAAATTCTAAATTTAATTTATTTTCCCTATCATTTTTTCTGAAACGACAACAAGACACAATGTATGTACCTTTGCCTATCAAACTTGGGTGTGTGAGAAGTATCTGTCCAAATCTTATTTTGAGTTTGACTTATTCACCATTTTTTGGTAAGTGATGATTAATTAGGTTTCATCAAATTGCACTGAAACTTTTCATTTTTTATATAGTTCCCAAGAAGGAAATGAAAAAAAAAAACAAAGCATCATAAAAAGTGGTAAAATAGAGACACATTTTGAACTGTGAATATAGATGTTTGTCAAAAAAAAATGTGAATATACATGGACCAATAAATTTTAAAAATTTACTTTTTTCTTCTCAACACAAAATTGATACTTCGGTTTGATGCGGCTGTGCTTCTGCTCACAAAACCAAGTACAAGTGCCTGGATTTTCAGCAAGAACATTGGTTCCTTACGGCCTGTCATCCTTCTGGCCCTTAAAAAGGCCCACTAAAAGTTTGGGTCAGACCACCCGGTATTCGGAGCCACTGTTCCGACTTAATCCGGATTCGGCCCGGATTGTGCTCGTAGAGTCCGACTCTTGCTCGGAAGTAAGGCCTGACCCTGGGCTATTTGAATTTGGCGCTCACAACGGGAGTCGCACCGGGGGGGACCTCGCGTAGCATTCACGAGCTGCTACAATAGCCAAACCTCATTTTCATTCTTTTTGTATAACAAACAATGCTGTCCAATTTTTTTTTTTGGGGGTTTCTAAATAGTCCAAACTTTAAACCTTATGAAATGATATTGTCCCACAAAAAAAATAAAAATAAAAATAAAAAATCATACATAAAGAAGAGAATGATTAGGTGGTAGGGCTTAGAAGAATATCAGAAAAGCATTAATAAACAATTGTGTCAAGGTTGGAAGAATAATGAAGAAGAGAGAAACAGATAATGGCTTGTGAACTACTACAATTGTCGGCAGCTAGAGACCAACACTCCAACTGAAAATTGCCGGATTCTGATGCCAAATACTTCGAACAAAAGAACAGACTGTCTTTTTTTGCTTGTTCAGATTGACTTGATTAGTGTATGAAACTTTCTCTTGAAAAAAAAAAAAATTTGCTGTCTCATTCAAGTAGGCCAAAACGGGTAATCTGTAAATTGCAGGACGTATGATATTAGCAAACAAGACCTGCAGAAAAAAAAAAAAAAAAAGAAGTAATACTATGAGTACCTACCCACTATAAATTTTTGGTTCATCAAAACTCCTGCAAGATTTCTCCATAAACTGGCTCAGACAATTTGTCTTAGTAGTTTGGTTTTGCTCCTTTGTGAGAGCGTTTTTGCTATGTTCACTGAGCCTTTCTTGCTAAAAATGAAAAACAGAAAAATCTTGTCTTAGTTATAACCCGCTTATCGAACTCATTTAGACTAACTTCATTTCGTACCCTTAAACTTGTATCACTTTGTACGCTAAATTTCAATGTTGAACATTTTACACCCTAAAATCTCAAATTTGAATGCTTTACACTCTAAACTTTTAAGTTTGTCCCATTTAATTATAATCAATGATAATTAACTTTGGCAAAATTAATGGCGTAGAGGATCCAAGGAATCAATGACAATGTACTGAAAGTAGTCAAAAGGTACTACAGTGTTGTAATAAAAATAAAATAATACATTGTCATTAATGAGTATCATCTTTAATCTTGTTAGGTTTACTAACAATATTAGTGATTAAAGCTACATAAAATAATGGCAATGTGATGAAAGTGATCAAAAAAGTTGATGGATCATAGTTAGAATTAAAATAACATTGTGATTAGTTAATTTTGCGCATGACATAATTATTTATTATATTTAAATAGGATAAATTTAAGAGTTTAGGGTGTATAGTATCCAAAATTAAGAGTTTATAGTGCAAAATGTCCAAAATTAAAATTTAAGGTGTGAAGTGAAAAGGTGCTACCAGTTTAAGGATGCAAAGTGGAGTTAGACCAACAGAAGTTGGACAATCATTTGTGCTAGAGTTCAATCTCTCGGAGTTCAACTAAGACTTGTCTAATTACAGATTCCAATTATTATCAACCATGTGAGAGTCCAATCTTACACATAGTTAAATAATTAAAAGAATAAGATTTCAACATAATATTTTGTTTGAAACAACTCTTTTACATATGTAGACCAATGATTAGCATATTGACATGCTCATTACGGCAGAATTGCCACCTTAAACGCCCGGCAAGCACCAAGTTCTATCAAATGATAAAGTCTAATTTTCTTTTAGTCTTTTAACCGGATGGATCGGAATTTGTCAAAGTTGATCTCTTCATAGAGATGTCTATAGGGTTTTTTCTGTTGTTGTGCGGGGGGGGGGGGGGAGATGCAAGATGTTTCAATGCATGAATAGAATAATTCAGTCTTATCACTAATTGACTAGATAACCTTGACCTCTTCTTCTAGTGAATGCACCATCTAGTGTCAAAACCACACAATTGGCATCTTTGATGATAGATGCCTTCACAAGCTCGTATCAAATCCTCAAAATCAACTCAACTCAGTCCATTTCCTACATAATGATGGAAGAAACAAAAAATTGGTCTTGAAAATTCTACATGATAGTGTATCAATTTGTGTGTTCTGAACTGAAAATTTTCTTTAACCACGGATACCAAACACCAGCGCGATGCCGGACACTCCTTCCCTAGTCTATCTCAGAATATTCAGGGAAAGACCTGTCTCTGGTAAAAGAACAATTTAGCTGCGAAAAGCATTTAGATTATGTATAGCATTTACTCAAATCATATACATGCAGCTGATCAGTAAAGAAAGGGCATCTTTGAAACTATCCCAGATCACTATCAGGTGAATAAATTCGACCAAAAAACATAACTAGCTCGACTACTTCTCGACTATATATTTTACTTCCCTTTCAACAAGTAACAAGAATCCAAAGACATTGGTCGCGTAAATAATAATATGTCACAAAATTAATAATAGCTTTGCATGCATGATGAAGTCGTTCTGAATCTACGTGTTTCTGTCCTTGGAAATAATAATTTTTAAATTGAAATTTGCAGAATAAAAAAAAAAAAAAAAAAAAAGAAGGGGGAGGAAAAAAAAGAGATATAAACGAGCCTGAAAAAAAAAGGGATATATAAACAAAATTTGCCATTTATTCAAATGAGGCAACATTCGTATATATCAGCAAAACCCGGAATGCTCATGCAACCACCTTTGTCTTCTCTCGTTTTCTTCGCAAGTCTACACCGCCCCAAAACCATCCATCTCTCTCCTCTTCTCTCTCTTGCTGCTTTAATTTCTAACCATTATTATCCCATTTCTCTCTTTCTTCTTCTTCTGTCCTCACGAAAACAGAAAAAAAAAACAGTTCTATAATGTTCATCACCTTCTCTGTCCCGCTTCCGCCGGAAACTTGGCAATAAAGATAACGGCCGGAATCTGCTGCATCACCACCGCCCATCATTAGGCCAAAGCCACCTAAATGGGCCAACTTACCCGTTCATCCACTCAGCCTTCTCCCCGAGCCGATCCGGATCCCGCAGAGGCCATCTCGGACCTTGTATGGCCTTTCGGAAAGCTCGAAGGCCTCGACCGGGATGATTTTCGTGAAGCTGCTTATGAGATATTCTTCACGGCTTGCCGGTCATCGCCGGGGTTTGGAGGTAGGAGTGCAATAACGTATTATAATCCGTCGGACGAGAAAGATGGAAGCGGGTCTGGGTCAAGTTTTGGACAACCTGGATCTCCAGTGAAGCCACCGGGGGTGGGGATGGCAGTAACGAGTAGGGTGAAAAGGACTTTAGGATTGAAAATGATGAGAAAGTCACCATCAAGGAGGGCTAGCTCTGTTGGGGCAGCACCGTCTTCGCCGAATGGTGGGGCCGGGTCGAGTCCTCGGAGCGCGTTCTCGTCGTTGCCGTCTAGGCCTCGGCGGCCGATGACCTCAGCTGAGATCATGCGGCAGCAAATGAGGGTGACGGAGCAGAGTGATAACAGGCTACGTAAAACTCTCATGAGGACCCTTGTTGGCCAAGTATGTAGATAACATGTCTATAGAATTATATATTTCGTCGATGGAAATGGGAAATTGGGGAAAAAAATATAAAATACAATTAGTTAACTAAAATTTCATAAAAATGTATGTTAATTTGGTGCAGTGAACAATAATTCTTCGTGTGAAATGAAATAATTTATGAAGCGATAAAATGAGAAAACAAAATAGGTAAATGTTTAAATGTTTTTTTTCTCTTTTTCATTTTTAATGTGCCTCTAATTAATCTGTATCATCTCGGAATTAACTAAGAGAGCAATATAAATTTTTTTTTAGGCTTATTATACGCAAATTGGAATTTAGTGAGGATTATAGAAAGGAAGGACGTAGAATGAATTTATAGCTAATTACTAGAAGCTGATATACCTTAGGATAAAAAAACTAAATAATTTTATTTCAAGAATGTTTATGCAAATATTTTATTCAAATGGGGCATTAGCATATTCATTTGCTGCCAACACATGAATGTTTATCATGCTTCACCATAAAAACCGAAGATAGAATCTGAAACTGTTAATTACACTCCCTGATGTTTTCAACATTTTTTTCGTTATCTTGGTAGTTGGAATAGATTGGCGGAATGGTCCCTTTGACACACTAGAGTTTGTCGAGGAAAATACATTACTGTATAATTTACTTGAGCTGTTTATATCTATTGACATGATAGCTTTGCACTGCTTGTATCGACAATGCTTATTCTTCGAGTTGATAAATTTTTTTGACCTGACTGATTGAACATGTAAAGTTGATACAATTCTTCGAGCAGATGGGCAGGCGTGCAGAGACGATTATTCTTCCATTGGAGCTTTTACGCCACCTAAAACCATCCGAATTTAATGACCCTCAGGAGTATCATTTTTGGCAAAAACGTCAGCTCAAAATTTTCGAGGTTGGACTTCTTCTTCACCCTTCGATTCCATTAGAGAAGTCGAATGAATTTGCTATTCGCCTTCGCGAAATCATCCAAGCTTCAGAACACAAAGCAATAGACACCGGAAAGAATTCAGAAACCATGAAATCACTAGTCAATTGCGTTGTGTCTTTGTCTTGGAGAACTGCTGATGGTTCCCCTACTGATATTTGCCATTGGGCTGATGGATATCCCATTAACGTACACATTTATATTGCTCTTCTGTACTCAATTTTTGATATCAAGGAGGAAACGTTAGTTCTTGATGAAGTTGACGAGCTTCTTGAGTTGATGAAGAAGACATGGTCTACATTGGGAATTAATAGATCGATCCATAACTTGTGTTTTACTTGGGTGTTGTTTGAGCATTATATTATGACCGGACAAGTTGAGGGAGATCTTCTTGGTGCATCACTGACTATGTTAGCTGAAGTCGCAAATGATGCTAAGAAAGTTGATAGAGAACCTTTGTATGTCAAGATGTTGGCATCAGCCTTGACTTCATTGAAGAGATGGGCAGAGATGAGATTGCTTGATTACCATCAAAATTTTCATAAGGGAACAATTGGACTAATGGAGAGTATTGTTCCATTAGTCTTTTCGGCTGCAAAGATCTTGGAAGAAGATGTTCCAGGATATCTTGCAGTAGAATTGGAGAAAGGAGAAATGGCAAATATTTCATCTGGCAATCGGGTGGATTATTATGTGAGGTCATCATTGAGGAATGCATTTGCAAAGGTACAGGGTAGTATGTATATTAGTTTGATCCTGAATCGACGTCTCTTTTGCTTTTCTGTTGGATATTTTCAACTTCTGAAAATATTTGAACTATATCTCTCTATTTTTTTTTTTTAAATCTTTGTAGATTCTGAAAGATAGGAACATAGATGGAGCTGTTGTTGAAATGGAAGAAGCAAGTGAAGTGCTCATTAAATTGGCTAATGAAACTGAACGTTTGGCTGCAATGGAGAAGGAGATTTTTAGTCCCGTACTCAAGAAATGGCACCCTGTCGCAGCTGGGGTTGCAGCGGTAACCCTACATACTTGCTACGGGACTTTGTTGAAGCAGTATTTGGTAGCAACTTCTGCACTCACAGAGGAGACAACTACGTTGCTGCACAGAGCTGGGAAGTTGGAAAAGGTTTTGGTTCAGATGGTGGTTGAAGACTCTGTTGAATGTGAAGATGGAGGCAAAGCAATTGTCAGGGAGATGGTGCCCTATGAAGTTGATTCCATCATACTGAACCGCATGAAACAATGGATTCAAGAAATCCTAAAGAAGGGGAAAGAATTACTCCTTAGAGCCAAAGAAACTGAAGTAAGTTTGATAAAACATGTATTTATATCTTTTGACAGTGGCAGAATTCTTACATCTATTAACATGAATTGATATGTAACACACATACCCGAGACTCCTTATATGTGTGCAGCAACAACTTGACATACAGAATTTTGCATTGTAGACATGGAATCCCAAGTCCAAGACCGAGCCATATGCACATTCTGCTGTAGAGCTAATGAAGCATATCAAGGATTCTTTGGACAGCTTCCTCCATACCCCAGTGAACTTATCTGAGGATCTGGTCCACACTCTCACTGATGGATTGGAGCATCTCTTCAGAGATTACATTACCTTTGTTGCATCATGTGGTAAGAACTGGCACTGAATCTTTCCACCAAGTAGTTGTCAATGAAAGATATCATCCTGAACACAGATAATTGCATATATAGGGATGTTCATATCATACTCTGAAATCCTGTTCTCCTCTAAATACCAATCTGGTTGTCCCTTTTTGAATGTCTAGCTTCACTAATCATGCAAGTTGCAGCCGCTGGACAGTATTACTCTAAGTTTCCTCTTTTGCCTCATGGTCTTCTTCTTTGTGCTGATAAATGATAACGTAGACAACTAAAAGTTGGATCAAAATATGCATTGGAATCAGCAAAATTATGTGATCACTGTGTAACTCACTGGGTTTTTGCTCCACTCTTCAGGATCAAAGCAAAGTTATCTCCCTATACTTCCCCCTTTAACACGATGTAGCCAAGAAACAAAGTTTTCTAAACTCTGGAAAAGAGCTGCCTGCAGTGTTGGCATAGAAGACCCAGGCCAAAATATGCTGAATGAAGGCAACCATCCGCGGCCTTCAACAAGTCGCGGAACACAACGCTTGTACATCCGTCTTAACACCTTACATTTCCTCAATTCACAGCTCAACTCTCTTGATAAAACATTGTCCCTGTCGTCAAAAATTGTTCCTTCACCACATAGCCGCATTAACAACAGGAATAGACAACTTGGGGATTCCTCCTCCTACTTTGATCACGCTCGCTCGGCAATTCATGTTGCTACTCAGCATGTATGTGAAGTTGCTGCTTACCGTCTAATCTTCAGGGATTCGAACTCTGTATTCTACGGAAGTCTATATGTAGGTGATGTAGCAAATGCACGTATTAGGCCAGCTCTGAGAACACTTAAGCAGAACCTTACTCTATTATGTGCAATTGTAACTGAAAGAGCTCAACCACTAGCTCTAAAAGAGGTAATGAGAGCTTCCTTTGAGGCCTTCCTTATGGTTTTGCTTGCTGGGGGAAGCTCCAGAATCTTTTTTCGGTCAGACCATCAGATGATTGAGGAGGATTTTGAGAACCTGAAGCGGATGTTTTGTACATGTGGAGAAGGTCTAATCGTAGAGGATGCAGTAAACATAGAAGCTGAGACAGTGGATGGTGTAGTGGCATTAATGGGCCAATCTACAGAACAATTGATGGAAGATTTCAGTATTGTGGCCTGTGAAGCCAGTGGCATAGGTGTAGTTGGTGCTGGGCAGAAGCTTCCTATGCCACCAACAACTGGAAGATGGAATAGATCAGATCCCAATACAATTTTGAGGGTACTGTGTCACAGAAATGATCGAGCTGCTAATTACTTCCTAAAAAGGTCATTCCAATTAGCAAAGAGAAGAGGATGAAAATAATACCAGTTTACATGAGATTCTGCCACTAAGGTTGATCTTAACTGAGGAGCGTGTGAGGCAGGTATATGATCATATGATCTTTGAATGCTGAGTTCAGGAAATACACTTTTACGGAAAAAGATGATGTATTTATTCATTGTTGTATACTAGTACAAAGATATATTTGGAGATGAGAGAACATTATACTAATCATGGTCTTCTTTTTTTATAGACCTACGCAGCATTAGCAACTAACTGTGGTTGAGCATTTCAAATGGATATGTTTTTCTCTTTTGCATCATCCACTCTGCATGGGCCGTAATTGATGAGAAATACACCTGGGAAATGAATTAGTTCAAAAATAGAAGCAAGTCTTTTGGAGAAGAAGCTTCAACTGGTTCCTATCCGATTTCGACCATCAAATTTATCAGCACAAGGACATCAGCAAAACACGCTGGTTTCATGATGGAAGAGCTCTTGCAGCTGCTGACTTGCTGATATTGACATGTATCTTCGGATGGGATGTTGACTGCAGGAGTTCAAGTTTTCACAGGAAATAATTGTCTAGCATAAGTTTCTACCCTGGTTGCAAGAAAAGAATTCAAGAAGATTATCAATTCAGACAAGCCCATCTTCTCACTTTCATATTTGATGAGTTCAGAGTGAGAATCCTTGTTTTCCATATCATACAACAATAGTCGCAGAGCACCATATAACATGGATAATTTAGGAGTTCTGCCGCAGTAGCATAAGTCAAGGCCACATGAGATGCATTTGCATAAGATCTTATAGTTTTGCACTATCCAAACTTTCAAAGCATCTGACTGAGAAAGTTAAAACCGTCCTTATCATCGATAGAAATGAACTTTAGTTTTATCAAATCTGCAACCAGATGGCTGAGCTCTCCAAGACAGAAACCACAAAGCTAAAAGAGAACTAAATGGAAGGCTAATTCAACTTTATCTCAGACAATCTACAAAGTCACTGCAACGTAAATATGATCTTTGTAGTTTACAAACCATTGGGTCATACTCAAGAACTGAAAGTACGTTCAATGGAAGAAGAGATTTTAACATATTTATAAACAACTAAGAATGTACTTTCTACAAATCGCAATGAAAATTTGAAAAGCTATTAGCAAAAAGAGATATCAGAATCTGAAATTAAAAGTTCTTTCTTTCTTCATTTCCTTGAATCTAATTAAGTCTGCATTAACTTCCATTTTGATTTTTCTCTTAATTACTAACTTCAAAATTACGTTTTTTTTAAAGCTATTTTAAACAGTTCGTTTTGTTAAACAGATAATTGCATTCCTCATAAGTGATTATAGATAGCTGAATTTGGGATGCCAAATCTTGATTTGATAGGAGTTGAGTTTAACTTTTCCCCAGATGATCACAAAGTCTGCGGCTTTTGAGAGTGGTTTCAGAAGGCGTACTTCCACCAACGCGTTTGAGACCACGCCTTTGCGTGTTGTTGTCCTGATGAAATTGTGATGTTCAGTCATAAAACCCTCCAGAACTGATCAGAACTCTCGCTTTTCTCGAACATAGATCGAAATGGCGTTGTTAGAAAAGCGATTGTTGCCATTACGCTTTTCAAAGTCCTACTGATAATTCCTGACGGGGGCTGCCTACCCATTGAATTAAACAGTCCAATCCTATCCCATCCCAGGTGAAAAGATTTATATTTTGCTTTTTCTAAAATCCAATCTATAATGCCTTCTTTCATCTGTTTGGTAATATATACGAAAAGGGGTTCTTGAAATTTTCAAGCAAAATTACAAATTTGGAATGGTAGTGACAATTAAAGTCAGCTTTAGGTTTCTAGCAATCACTTTTGACGAGAACTTGATACGAATTCTCCAAAAAGGAAGAATTGTTAGGGAAAAAAAAGATTGATCAGATTAGGTACCTTTTTTGGTGGGGTGGGAAAGCCAAAAGGTGGAGGAAAGCAGCAAGAAGGGAACATGGAAGGTGAGATTTGAATCACGTCCCGAAATGATATATAGAGTCCTTCAGACGATGTTTGATTGATATTTCCTTGAGAAAGTTTACATGAAGTTCTGTCTCAGGATCTTCTTATAAACAGAGAGGGGAAAATGGATTACTTTAGGGTCTACAGTGGTTGTTAAATGTGACCTTTTGTCTGTTAAAACATGCATCTTGGTTTAGCAGCAGAGGTTTAAGGCTCAATATTGCATCTTCACACTATTTTATTTCTTTCCAAGGCTCAAATATTAGTGATGCTGATCTTTGATCATTTCAATTTGTAAATTCGATATACAGGAAGGCTGATGGTATCATGAATCAGCTTGACGTCAAAACTAATTAGGCTGAGAGAATTTTTTTTGTAGTCACCAGTTTTCTTCAGGCCTTTGTGCTTGGTTTATGATGCAAAACATAGAAAAAGATCATTGACCGTCATGGACAGAATCCTTAGCATTTTTGTGGTTTTTTTTTTTAATAATTACTTCACTGGATTTAGATTCCATGAGGAATGTAGACACAAAATCAACTACTAAAAACAGGCTAGTATGATATGTAATGTCTGCTTTCGACATTATCTTATACACAGTATCAAATGTTTGCTCAATTATATTGGTATAAGATGTTTTCAAGTATCAGTATAGAGCTATCATATATACTAACAAAATCAAATTTTGTCTCTAACATGCGTTGAGTTTAAATCTGGATAAACACATGACATGCACTAAACAGGCATTCGGGCCTGCAAACTTCAATTTCATGGCCATCTAGATTGGTTGGGAAAGGAGCATCATAGGAATTATTTTGGTAGTTTCACGTAGAAAGACATGGAAAGCCTTGTTGTCCTTGCATTGCGAAGCATTATTGTTGACTACTTTTCTGAACAGTGGCCATCTAAAAGTAACAGTTTTACTGAAAACAGTTGTGCTACTGACCATCAAAATCAACAAACAGTGAGAAATAAATAGAAAGGGAAATTAATGGGAATAGCGAAGAAACTATAAGCGATGAAAAAACCAAAATAGTGAGAACTAAAGGAAGAATGTATTCCTTTCAATTTGAATTTGCGTTCAAGCATCCTAGAATGCTCCAAAAGATGGGGGTAAAAAAAGAAAAAACTAAAACATAGTACTGCATGTTATTGATGCAAATTTGCTGTCCTGGATTACCAAGAGAGAATTGCTAGAAATAGAGATTTCAAGCAGATAACTTAAAATATTTGTTGTAGTACATTCATAGGGCTCTTAAGGAAAGATGCAAATTAAGATTTCAGATATCTGAGCTGAAATATTTGCTGCAACACGCTGTAGGGCCATGCAGGAAAGCCAGTTCGGGCCTTCTGACAGCTTTATTTCATTCCTCCTCTCTGCTTCTAAAACATAACAGTACATTTTTTAGCTTAAGGAAAAGCTAGTTTCATCTTAGTTGTGCGAGAAAGCACCAATCCATGCTTGTGATGCTAGCAATTCTTATTACAAAATAATGCTCCTGTTGAGTCTCAAGCTCCTTTCCATGCAGATGAATTTTAGCCCTCTTGAGAACATTCTTGATTAGCGTTTGTTATCTGCCAGCTCTACTTGGTAAGCATCTTTCCTTGACCCCTCTAGTTCTTCTTTTAGCACTTCCATTGAGTCCGAAATCTCAGCCTTGTAGTGAAAGAACTTGGTCACAACCAGGAAAAAAAGGAAATTCAGAAAGCCTACTACTGAAAGAAATGCAAAATACAAATCGAGGCGAGAAGTATTAAGGTTATTTTGGATCCATCCTTTGTGACCACCCTCCCTTGTGATGCGAGAAACTGCTGAAAGAATGAAACTGCTAAGGAAGTTGCCACCTGCCACACTAGTCATAGAAAGGGAAGTCCCCAAACTCTTCATGCTCTCAGGTGCCTGATCGTAGAAAAACTCAAGTCTCGCAACCTCTGTCATTGCATCAGCCACTCCCATAAGGATAAATTGTGGGAGCAATATAAATATGGTCAATGGGAGTTGGCCTCCGGTTTGATCTAGACCATGTTCCTTGGCCACATTAAGCCTGTGCCTTTCTGTCAGGGAGGCTACGATCATAATGATAATGTGGAGCACAAATCCAAGTCCCAGTCTTTGAAGGAGAGTGATGCCTCTTGGATTCTTGGTCCACTTGCTAATAATCTTGACAAAGACACGATCATACAGCACCACGGTAAGCAGCAAGGTTACTGTCACAAAAGCACCTAAGCTGGCTGGTGGCAATTTGAAATGCTTACCCATGCCCCTGTCCAGAGTAGTGCCTTGCTTAATGAAAAGAGTATAGCTTTGTGCAACTAGTACGTTTGGAAGGAATGTGGTCATCAATATAGGTAACATTTTCAGCATCTGTTTGGTCTCCTCAACTTCTGTAACTGAGCATAACATCCACATACTTGTTGAACCTGTTTGCACTGCTGCTTTGTTCAGGTACCTAATTTAATGCATTTCAGTTAGACAACTATGGAACAAGATGTTATTCAGATTTTTAAAAAAATTTAATCAGTAATAGAGAAGCAGTTATAGTTAATTATGGGAAAAATGCTAACCTTAATGTGGTTGTGGATTCAATTTTGAATTTGCCCTTCTTGGCGTATTCTTCAGCATCAAGTTCATACAGTTCTTTGGGATGAGTAGGGACAGGTACCCTCCATTTCTTAATAGCAGCCACTATGACTCTAGCCATCTTTGTGAAGGGACTACCAGCAGGCTTCTTGTGCCTATAGAAGGGAGTACCAAACAGAAAAATGGCAATAGACAATGCAAGCCCAGCTGTAGGGATACCATATCCAAGAGCCCATCCCACATTGTCTTGAATATAGACGAGAACTGTGTTGCCAAAAAGTATCCCAAAGAATATGCTAAACATCCACCAATTGAAGAAGGAAAGCTTTTGGATCTTCTCCTTTGGATCGAAATCATCGAATTGCTCCGCACCTATGGTGGAGATATTTGGCTTTGTCCCACCAGTTCCAACAGCTAAGATGTAAAGTGCAGTATAAAACACTGCCAATTCAAGTGTTGTAGCCTTTGGACAGTCAGATACATTTGCAGCATGGCAGGGAGGTGGTCTAAAGCCCGGGACTGAAACTGCTAGTGTTAGCAAGCACATTCCCTGCAATCAGATACAATTTCAGTTAGGACATGCATAATTTGCTTTATTTGCATGCATGGTCTCTCTAGATTTGGTTTACAACTCCAACTAGCTATACTACTAGTCATCTTGGACACTTGGGATTTGCATAAATGCCTTGTATAATCTTACCTTAGCAGTAAACAGATAGTAAAAGTTTTTTTTTTTTTTTTTGGTCATGAAGTTACAGTTTTAACTCTTAAAAAAAAAAAAAAAAAAAACTTCACTTGCTAAATCCAGCTAACTCACGAAAGGTTAATGGAACTAATCTGTACTAATTATATTATATTACATTAATATCAGAAGACAGATGCCTCTAATCATAGCCAGTAAAGAATATGTTTTTTCGTACTTAACTTTTGTGTTTAGTGAGATTAAAGAAGATCACATATGAACGTGTAGCATGATTAGAAATTGATCTTTCTGATTATTAATTGATTTAGACAAACTAACTGTCATTAATTAGCAAAGGAAAGGACGCGGATGCTGTTTCAGCAATCTGAAGATGCATTTTAATGGGCATCAAATTCTTCTCTTTTCGTGTATTGATATATGCATTTTTGGAATCAACTCTGACAAAGTTATTATTCTCATATCAAGCTGACACATTTGGCATTTCAATATTAGACTTAGGTCTTCGTCT